AGTAATTTTTATTTTAAGTAATTTTTACTCGGAATACCTTCGGTACTCTGTATGATAATATTGTTAAACCAAATAAGTAATTTTTACTCGGAATACCTTCGGTACTCTGTTTTTACTCGGAATACCTTCGGTACTCTGTATGATAATATTGTTAAACCAAATAGAATTATTGATAATATTGTTAAACCAAATAGAATTATTGATTAAAATTTTAACAAAAGATTATTCGTTATAATTTATAAGTCCTACTATGTGGTAAAAAAAAATTAGTATAGATAATGTAGAATCTGTTTTTATAACAATAAAGGTCTATTCACACACAGCAGTGACGTGACCGTGCCGTACCCGTTGAATATAATTAAACTGAATACTTTAATTTTGAGGTTAGATCTCTACCTTGGATATAAAATACTTAAATTTAAGAAAATATTATATGAAATAAACGGACGATTTAAAAATAATAATAATAATAATGTATTTGATGTATTTCTTATAATATAATATATATTTAAACATGATATACATGTATTATGATATAAATAATAATATATTTCTTACCGGTTGTTTCCATTTCTTCTGCTATTTTACTCCAAATAGTATTTTAGTAATCTGTGTCCATGTATTTTGCATGTGATAGATCATATAACACGGGATACTTCCGCACTAATTCAATAAGATTTCCGTCGTTAATTTCAAAAACTGAGAGAGAATGACATACGACAAAAATCACGGCCGTGAAATATGAAAAATATCGTCGGCAACTAAACGCGAACTCACGGTACGATAACGGCGACGACACTGTTTGCGTCGGTACGGTCACAAGCCGGGCGAGTGAGAACAACAAGCTTATCTCTCCTTTAAGAATATTATAAATCTCGCCGGGGGAATCCCGGAACGGTCACGGCACTGCTGTGTGTAAATAGACCTTAATTGTTATAGAATTTGATAGTACAATTATTGTACTATCAAATTTTGACGAAAATCGTAAATATTAGGGCCTTTCAAAACATTTATAACCGCTAAGCTTAGAATCGTTTTTCGTTAGGAAAGATTAATCGTTAAGTACAGATATGCATTAAATTCCCATCTATATTATCCTACCATCCAAATTTCTCACCTAAAAGCTAATACAGTGCGCAGTACGTCCGAATCTATTTTTGATTTAATAAATAATAAAATCATTAGTGACATTATGAACAATAAATATAGAAATAAACCCCGTAATTAACTCTGACAACCACTAAGGAGTAAAATGAGGCTATTTTAATACCAATATCAGGGGGAGGGGAATTGATAAGACCGGCTGCCAGTTTTATAGTAGCAAGTCGCAAGTGTCATATAATATTGTCGTACATATTCGAGACTTATACATTTAGACGAAATATTCACTCCGAGGACTGGAAGGCGTAATCGGTCCGAACGGATCAAGAGATGGGCTGATATAAAGCCTAGTGTGAGAGAGAGAACAAATTTAAACACTCCGTTTATTATCTCGTCATACAACACTTTCTGAACCCAGTAAACATAACGCTTTATTATTTTTAAATATCATACTATATTTGAATTTGCACCATTCTTGAAAGTTTCGACTCGTTGATTCTTCAGAAAATTTCATTTTTTTTTTGAAAGTGACATATTAATAAAATACTCGAATTATGGAACAACAAATAATCACGATATTTGACGACGGGAAACTAAATTATAAGTTCGTTTAAACGGTTGACAAATGTGCAATTGTTGTTATCGCAACCGGTCGCGGTATATTAGTAAATTTAAAATAAATTTCGTATTCAAATGTTAGGTACTTTGTACTTCTATCGTAGCGATAAGAGTACAAAAACTATAAATATTATTTATTACATTTATAAACACATTTTCTTACCTATTATTACAGACTTATAAATTTGATTCTTAAAATTTCTCATACTAAAGTTTTAAAATATAATTTTTTTTTTTAAGATAAATAATATTTTGTTAAGTTTTAAAATTTGGCGTTCCACTGAAATGTGGTCAACGTGCCACTTCTGGCACGCGTGCCATAGGTTCGCCACCCCTGGTCTAGATGCATAAGTTAAATGCAATGGCAACGAATCAGCAGTCGAAGGTACCGATCACCACCATTCTTTTAATGGTTGGGTGGTAGTCGACCCATGATGGACCTACCTATGCCATATTTTTTATAGAATTGGTACCTATAGAATATTAATTAAGAATGTTGTTTTGTAAACGATGGTGGTGGTCTATACAACTTTTTATCTGCCCACCTTTTTAAACATGGTTCGGCACCACTGAGTCTATATAGGTATATAATATTTGATTTACCGCAGTAATTTTATCCGAATAGACAACCAACGTATAACTTTACATTTACTAATTATAGTTTATATTATAGTATAATGGTAGGTATTATTTCAGTAAATTAAATTTTATGATTTTTTTTTTACAACTTATTACCACATATCTTTAAATCAGTTTGAAATCGAAACATTATACATTTTTCATTCGAAAATGATAAATGATTTTTCGAAAAATGCCATGGTTATAAGTCACCAACTAACACATATCTGTAGCCATAGACCGTGGTACAAAATGTGTATAGGTAAATATGAATATAATGTACAAAAATAAAAAACATTTTTCCTTGTATTTTACCAAACTATGTGAATAAAAATAAAACTCGTAACAAGAATTACGAACACTCAGATTGTTTATCATATCTAAGAAAACAAAATATTAATTATTACCCAATACCCACTCTCCCTAGTTGCAACCATGCAACCTTATTTATCAAACTAAGGTACCTAACTACTATTATTTACAGTTTTGTTACTGTCACTACTCATTACTTAACATCTTTTTATGGATTATCTTTTTACATTATATTATAAATATAAATAGTAAAAATTTTCATTTATTTAGAGTGAATGATAATACAATTATATTTAATAAATTGGGAAATATGATACAACACTATGTTAAACAACAAAATAACTTTAAATTTTGAAGCAAATAAAAATAATAATAATATATATTTTAAATAATATCAGCAAGATAAATATCAATTAAATTAATTAACTTATTTATATTTAGCTTATTTGATTATTGGATTATTGGAATGCCTGTGACAACAAATCAAATTCAGCTTCTTTTTTATTATAAGTTTCAATAAAATCAGAATTAGCATAAGCATCTCGCAGCATATTTAAATTTCTCTTAGCTACCTGTATTCAAAAATAAATAAAATAGTTACAAAATAAAAGTTTCAAATCAAAATCCGTAACTTACTTCTGCTGAAACTTTTAAATGGCCAGAAATGAACAATGAATTTACTAAGGAATCAATATCATTACTATCTTTTTCTAAAGCATCTTGTAATGTAATCTCCGCTTTTTTATACTCGCCTTGTCCAATATAACATACTGACTGACAATTTAACAACAAAGCTGTAACTCCATATTTGTCAATTAGTTCTTGGAATATGTAATAAGCTTCCTGTAATTTTTCTCCGCCCTATTCAAAAACAATATATTATTAGAATTGTTTATTTTAATATACTTAACACTAAATACATTGATCATTCATTTGCAATTTATATTTATATAAAAAAAACAATTCAGTTTAGTTTTTAATTCAATGACTATAACCTATATAAACATAAACAAATGAATACTGCTTTTTACCAATGCTAAGTTTAACCAAGCTTGTGCCATTTGTGTTAATGTTGCATCTTCATCCTTCTCTCTTAATTTTCTGAATTCTTTTGTAGCTAAATCTACTCGATTCATTCTTAGATATATTATTAAAGATAATGCCGCACTGCAATAAATAAATATATTATGTCTTAATTAATAGTTATGTATGCTATTTCAAAATACAAACCCTTCAAGAGAATCGTCATTTTTGAGAACCCGTAGGGCAGATTCATAATTATGTTCATGATTATAAATTGTTGCCGCTACAATAAGAAGTGAATGATTTAATTCGCTCGAACTTTCTGATAATTCTCGTTCCAATGCGTGCATAACAGAATCCCTTTTCATATTTTTATGGTTTCAAATTAAATATTTGTTTTAAATAAATTATAATTTACACAATATTTTGATAAAATATAATGGGTTGAAACAAATGTATTTTTCAAACAGACTACTGGTGTAAACTAATAAGTGGTGGAAAATTAAACCATACAATTTAAATTTTTACAGCATGTATTAATTTATTTTTTTTTTATTCCATTAAAATTCCAAATTAAGATATTATTTTTACAAATTCCAGGAAATATCCCCATTACATTTGTATTTATTTTGGATACAAAATTTTAAATTGAAAAATCAGCTTCTTAAATAACATAGACAATTTGTCAACAAATCCAACAATACTTTAAAAATTGAATTTAAACATTAGAAAATGTGTTGTAACTTTCAACCCCTTATTGGTCTAATATGTTATATTTGTCCATAAAAGCTATAACAGTTACCTAAAATAATGTATTGAGCAATACATTTTAGATTAGTAAAAAAATGATTCTGTTATCTCAACTTTTCTCTGAAATTTTCAAGACTACCAGCTCATCTTATTATCTCGACTACCTCATTTTGATAACAAATTTAATTTGAATCATGATATGAATAAAAAAGTTAGCATTCATAAGTTTATAATTATATAGTTTATTTTAATAAAATGTATGTACCAAGCATGTATTGTCAATAAATAATATTAAAAAATGTTTTGTGGAAGAAAGTACATCATTATATCAATTAGAATTTTTACAAATGGATCTTCATTCAAATTTTGTTAAATACAAATCCAAATGATTACGACCTGTTCCTCTATGTCTTATGATACACCACTTTGCCAATCCACACAGATGTTATATTGTTTTTGTATGCACTACTGTAGTTGGGTCCACAAAATTATAAGATTGGTTGATAGTTTTGTGATCATAACCATTAACTTTTAAAATTGTGGTTTACACATTTTTCTGTACATATAATTGAAAATCAAATCTAATTATGTATTAATGTGATACAGATTAATTATTACAATGCAGGAATTATAAATCAAACTGTATTTATGCGGGAACTTACATTTATACTCATATTCAATTTTAGTTAACCAACGATATACTATGTAGTCTTGAAAATATATTAGTAGTCGAGATAACAGGATAGTTCAGAAACATTTTATTATAAAGGTAGTCATTAAAAGATAAATAACAATAAAATGTTTATATTATTTTTTAGATTCTTACCTTGTAGTTTATACATAACTTTTAAATCTATACAATTCTTATGGTAAATACCTTACCTATTATCAGGACTTTGTAAATACTCGGCTAACAATTTAAAAGGTTGCAAGTCTGGGTGTGAATTGGTTTTTAATTCTGCAAGAACAATGCCATATTTTTTTTGAGCTAAGTAAGCTCGATACATAAATATATCGCGTTTTATACGTAAATTTCCATAATTTGGCTGTAAAGAAAAAAATATTTAATGTGTAAATATAATTACATTTATTTTATAAAAAAAAGTTAATGGTTTAGTGGTAAAGATTACTCAAGGTCCCTATCCTCAAAATTATTTAGTAAAAATTTGAAATAGTAATACATTTATAATTAAAAACAGGAATTATAAATGTATAAATGTAGTATACAATATTATAATGGTTTTACTAAAATTGTAAAAAGTTATTTTCAAAAATAATACATAAATTATACTTAGTTATAAGACCAGGTAGAACCAATATTAAAAACATTTTAAATCCTAATCACAAAATTAATTCCAACAACAGTTCTAAGGGATCCTACTGCTGTTTGAAAATTATGATTGATGAAAATAACTTTTAGGTACATACTATATATATAAGCTGATTAGTATATTGATCGTAAGAGTATAATTATTAATAATTTATAATTCAATAAATACCGGCTCTTTCTGAGCATCATTGATGCATTGTTGGTAATTCCCAATGTAGTATGAGTTTTTAATATCAAATAATTCATTTGCTTCATAAGACTCAGCTTGCTTAGCTATGTCTAAAAAAAAAACAAAAAAAAATTATTGGCTATCAATTAAATTAACTAAGATATCTAATTTATACAATACCTGTCATTTTTATTTATAAGTATCAAGTTAATTGTAAAAAAAAAATTTCTGGAAAGTATACAGTAAGTTTATTGAATCAAACACAAAATTTTTTATATTATTAGTGAATCTCTTTTTCAATCAATCTGTAAAGAATACAAAATTTAATTATTTATTTGAAAAATGAAATACTACAGGAAACCTTATCAGCTTTTATTATCACTAACGTAATCACCACGTCGCATGACGCAGTGTCGCCTTTTCAGTCTCCTTAGTTGACATTAATGTTATCTCTGAAGTTTGATAAGTGATAAGATAATGTAGAAAGACCACGATTGGCACGATTACATATTATTATAAAGAAAATATCTCTTAATAATCCTGAAAAGGACGCTTATCAAAAATAGCGCCAATGCTCAATAGCGGTTACATTATTTCTACAACAACCCAAGATTGCAAGCGAATGCCGGATTCCATATTATCGTATAAATTAATTTCAAACTTTCAGTTATGTTATTTTCACTCTACTTACTTATTTGAATAATTAGTTTTAATTTTAATATTGAACATAGCAATCTTGACTTATTAAACAAATATTAGTTCTCCTATCATTGAGAAAGTATTTATATTAAAGTAAGTCATTGAAATAGTATTTTACAATTTATTGCTTACACCAAGCAGATTAATGTCACATAATATTATAAATACCTCGTCTTAATTGAATATATTATATCTTGTATTCCCCAATCATTGGTCCCAAAAAGAAAAGTACAATGTGGCTAATAGTTTAAAACCCCCCTTGGTACCTATTAATGCTTATTATTGTGACCCAAAATATATTTTCATTAAATTAGCAATAATAACAAATAAATATTAATTTGAGTTTATGACTAGATAATATTCAACATGGAAGATAATAGTCATTTAAAATCTGGATTGGTTTTAAAAAATAGTAATAGCATACACAAAGAAAACTCCATTAAATCTACTGTAAAAAATAATGCTGAGAATAAATCATTGGAAAATAACATTCAAACAGTAAACTGTTATTGGTAAGTTGTATCAATTTATCTGTAATTATAATTAGTAGATTTATTAAATAATTTAATGTTTTATGTAATATTGATATAATTTACAAGATGATCAACATAACATAACGATAGAAAAATTTCAGTACCAAGCTAAAATGTTACTTATAGAATTTGTGATATAGGTTGTTATTTATTTACATTCGAAGTGTATAATTGCTTCACCCAAAAAATAAATCATTTTAAAGATTATTACTGAAAATTTCAAAAAAATAAATTATAAAAAAAGTCGATATTTTCTGGAATAAGTGTCTTATGTTATGTTTATCACTCTGTATATATATATACGCTTCAATCAAAGCCTGAAGATCAGTCAAATTTGGGATGTTCACTTTTAGTTAGATACTTTTTTTCATGCTTTTACTAAACATAATAATTTGTGTATTATGTAAATACAAATATTATTGGTAAACAAAACAATCTAATGTTTTTTGTTATATGTATCTAACTTTTTTAATAGTTTTATTTTAATAATATAATATGGTACTCGTGTAAAATACTACATTTCTCTCTACAAATCTCAAAAACAGAAACCTCGTTATTATATTAAATGTATTGTTAATACACATACAATACTGCTACTTTATTTTATTACCAGAAACATTTTATATTTATTTATTTTCACAACATAGTTCATGATATAATATGTTTTTATAATATAGCTGATATTATATATTACATATTAGTTAATACAATCATATCATATAAAGCATAAGTAAAATTTGTTATTTTCTATTTTACTAATGGCATTTTTACTACCTAGGAATTAAAATATATAATTGTCAAATTATATGCTAAATTAAAGCTCCCTCCCCCAAAAAAACTCATTCAGACATCAACAAATTGAAAATGTACAATATAAATTATATATATATTAAAGAATGTCTGTCTGACCTTTATAGACTCAAAAATTACTGGACCGATTTTAAAGGAATTTTTTTCGAAATGTTCCACATAGTCTGGAGAAGGTTTATAGCTATTTAAATATTTATATAAATTATAAATTAATAAATATATTTATTTTTGGTAATTTGTAATATAATATTGTTTGTTAATTCTGCAACAAAAAAAAATAATAATAACAATAAAATCTAGCAATATCAAAGTAAATGTTGCCCGGACAGTTATATTATATAAAAATGAACATTTATCTGTTGTCTCTATGCCTTTTTAAACTGTTCATCCTATTGTGATGAGACTTTGATAAGAATTTTCCCAGGAAAATTAGGCATTAGGATATAGGCTTTAAGAGAGTTTTAATTCTCAACCCTTTACACTTAAAAATCATCCTTCGTATTGAAAACCAATATTATTATTATAAGATTTTATATTTTGTTTATTTATTTACCTTGGAGATGCAGATCTAACAAAGCCTAGCAAAATAACAAATTATGACACATAGTCCAGCGTAGAACTACTTACTATCCACTTATTTTTTTCAATTCAATATATTTAGGAAAACAGGAATAAAAGTAAACAGAATTAAAAAAATGACACTGGCAAGGGATAGCTAACACTTTCTGCACAATTATCCTTTTCCTATAACTGTAATGTAAAAAACTGATAATTAAAAGTTGTAGGTAACACAAAAAAACTGCACACGGGCAAAGCCAGGTTATTCATCTGGTAATGGTTATAAATATTATTTGATCGAAGCCAGAAGAACCTGCTTTAACCATAATATACATATAAATAAATATATCAAAGGAAAATACTAACACTGATTTAAATACAGTATTACGAAATTTAAAAAAGTATGTAATTACTATATTATATAAATAATATTATTGTATGATTTTAGCAACAAAGATAGAAATTTCAATATTATTGAACTATTATGTGCTAATTGTAATCGATGGTATCATGAATCTTGTATTGGTTATCAACTTGGGAAATTGGTTCCATTTATGGTGAATTATATATTTGTTTGTAAAAACTGTTCGCCTACTGGTCTAGAAAGTTTCAAAAAAAACCCAGCCAGTAAGTATTTCTGTTTTACTTATTTAACTTTATTATTTCATCTTAAATATTTCTAGTGTTTCCGCAAATGTGTGTTACTGCAATTGGTAACTTAATGCAAGAAAGCATTAAAAGTGGAAACCCTAAGGTTTATTTCTCAAGGGATAAAGATATAATTCCATTTATTGAATCACATTGGGAGAGTATGACTACAACTGCAAGAAGAGTTACGCAATCATGGCATTCAACAGTATGTAATTGTAACTATTTGTCCATTTTAAAAAAAAAAAAATAAGATATATATACAATATCATTCATTTTTATATAAGAAAAAAGATAATTTTCAAATTACTTTAACTTTAAATATTTTACTTGTTACTTTTTTTATGTTTTTAGATTACAAGATCATTAATAAAGGAAACTGATAGTTTATTTGGCGCCTTTGATGATAATGGTTCTCAATCATATAAATTATTATTTGAAATTTCCCAAATCAAACCAAATTATGAAGCTATGATTAAAGGTGGTCATCTTAAAGTTACCGAAACAGGAATTCAACCAGGTACTTAAAAATTCTAAAAAATTAATGAATAGTTTATTATTTTTAATTCATATAATATTATGTTCAGTAAAGACATTTAAAACACAGAATGATTTATGATTGTTTAAATTATGAATATATTCAAATTTTGATTTTTGGAATTTTTAAATGTAGTTAAAGTTGATGTTTTCGGATATTTAGATTTTTCACAACATTTAAGGAGTATCTTGTGGTAATACCAAGTTCAGTTTTTCAAATGAGAACCTATATTAAAAATTCCATTAATAGAAGACAAATAAATAACTTTAAATAAATTTTGGTGTCAACATTTTTGATTTCTGTCAACCCATGAACGAAATACAGTAAAACCTCATCAGACTTCACTTAATCCAGACAGCCGTTTATAATACAAATTATGCAGTTTATGCTGCAGAAAAGGTAAACATGAAAACGAGTACGAATTTCCCATAAATGCATAATATCGCGATTATTATTTATAAATTATATCTATTATAATACAAATTCTTAAATCTATTATACATACATAGTTTTTTTAGTTGTTGAAGCCAGTAAACTTTTTAAAAAATACATGGTTGTTTTTGGTTATTTTATTTTATTCAGACAACCTAGAGTCCCAATTAATCCAAATTAATTAATTTCTATTATATTTCACTTTTTAAATTTAGGTTAGATTTTAGGAGAGAAGTGGAGTATCATTTATGTGGTGGCACTTCGCGTGGCGTTTTATTAATGCTCCACTACTCACCCCCTACCTAAAATTAAAACTGAAATATCTCATCTACAGTTTGACGAAAATCAAAAATTTATTTATAGTAATACTCAATCCATTTATAAAATATTCAATGGTCAGATTAGGTTCTCATTTGAAAAACTAAATTCGGTATCACCACAGGATACTCCTTAAATTTTTTAAAAAGTCTAAATATCCAAAAATATCAGCTTTAACTACACTTAAAAATTCCAATAATCAAAATTTGAATATATGCAAAATTTAAGCAAAAAATAGAGTGAGCATGCTTAGTGAATCATCCTGTATATATTAGTTAAAAATAATCAAATTTATATACTACAGTTGTCATATAAGTAACATTTAATTTTTTTAGTCAAAAAATATACAAAATACTATCCCATATAATCTTGTCTGGGTTTTTTCAAGATTAACTATTTTAAAAATTATTTATTTTTAGAAATGTAAATGTGAGTGTTATGTTTATTAATGTATTGTCGTTGTATATTATGTTATTTTATTTAGCTATTACAACTGGTCTTAAAGGACGTGGTGCTAAAAGAAAAACACTTGCTGATGGAACAAGTGGGATAGGTAGTGGTAAGAAGGGCAGAAGTGCTGGTGATCAGTCAAATGTTAAATTACCTGCTCATGGATATCCACTAGAACATCCATTTAACAAAGACGGATACAAATATATACTAGCTGAACCAGATCCTCATGCTCCATTTAGACAAGAGTTTGATGAATCAAACGAATCTGCTGGAAAATTGATTCCCGGCTGGTTATACAGACCCCTATGTCCAAATCAAGTACTGTTAGCATTACATGACCGTGCGCCACAGCTACACATATCTGAAGATAGATTATCAGTAACTGGAGAGAAAGGATATTGTATGGTTCGAGCAACTCACAGTGAGTTATGAATATTTTTATTTTCTTTATTTAATAAATATGTTATATTAGTTTGTAAGTATTAAGTTTATAATAACATGAATTTAAAGGTGTTACTAGTGGAAATTGGTATTGGGAGGCAACAATTGATGAAATGCCAGACAATTCAGCTTGTCGTATTGGATGGAGCCAGGAATTTGCAAATGTACAAGCACCATTGGGCTATGATAAATTTGGATATTCATGGAGATCTAGGTAAATAAAATAAAACCCGGGTTAATTAAATACAATTTTTATAACAAATTTTTATTTTTTTAGGAAAGGTACAGTGTTCCATGAAAGTAGGGGGAAACATTATAGTAACAGTTTTGGTGAAGGTGATACACTAGGTTTAATGATATGTTTACCCAACAACATCCTATCTCTTCCACCTACTCATAAAAATTTGGTATTTTACATTATTTTTAAAACTAACAGTTTTATCATATCTTGATTTTTATTAAAATGTTTTATTTTTTTAGGTATTGATCAAATTCAAAAGCCATTTATATTATGAGGAACAATCACAAGATAGTAGCCGTATTGCATTAAAAGGTCTAAAACCATTAATTGGGAGTAAAATCATTTATTACAAAAATGGAAAATGTTTAAATGAAGGTGCCATAGAATTATATGATGGAAAGTACTTTCCTACTGTATCTTTATACAAAAACTGTACGCTATCTGTGAATTTTGGACCAAATTTCAAATACGCACCACCACAAACTAATAGTTTTAAATACAAAGGAGTATGTATACTAGTGTTTAATTGTCTTATTGCTTTTACTCTCATCTTTTTGGGCTTTTAGAATATGCTATCCTAAAGCTGGTTTTATAATGTGCAATTTGTATGAGTGGCTGAAAACTTATGCAAATTAATCATTGACATGCACACTGTGCGTTCAAAATGTTTTGTTTGTGTTCCTATTTGCAAAATGTATTACTAATAATTATTTAAATGGGAAATGTGTGAGATTCTGTGTAAGACATACCAGAAGTTGATTGCTGAATACCTGCCAAATTATGATTTCTTCTGTTCCAAATCCCCTCTTCAGCGAGTATTTCATAAATTAATTTTTCAGCATTAAACGTTTCAAACCAAAACATTTAAAAATTTGATAAGTGATGAAAAGACTCCATGACTATTTCAAATATAATTTTACCATAGAGAGACTTAATAACTAGGTATCAACTGTGAGTATAAACTATAGTAATAAAAATATTAATATTAATCTGATTACAAGAAATGGATGTGTGTTCAAATGCATATATTTATATATTGCCAATTTAAGAACAACAGTGAAGTCAGAATTGAGCAGACCACTCATTATAGTTATTTGAAGTTCTGATATTATGCTGACATTATATGTTATGTTAAATAATTCTATATTGTATATTCTTTAATATGTTTGTCATAGCCAAATGGTTATACCTACCTATTTTCATCCTAGGGATCTCGAGTTAAAACCAGCATTTCGAAAAAAAGGTTTGCATTTATTTTTTCCTTTATACTTAACCAGGGAAAAAACAAATGCATTTTAGGTGTACTTGAAAACCCAGCTATCGCTCGCTCGAACTATTTTAATTAAAAAATACCCCTCGATATGTTGTATAAACTTTTCTACCAGAAATCTTGCTCCAATGTATTAAGTATAGCTTATTTTCTGAAAGGAAATTTTATCTCCATGGTAATTTAGAAAAGTATTTTTTTAATTTTTCAAGTGGTTTTCATAATATCTGAGAAAACCCGGGATAAAATGTTGGAAAAGTGGAAAATGCACGAAATGTAGGTATTAATAAAAAAATATTACAACCCTTCTTTTTTATCTATACAACTTTTCTTCAACTTTACTCAGATTTAAAATGATAGCACTTTTTCTAAATGGAAATCTAACTGGGTAGGTACCTTAGGGAGGTCATTTTTCGATTTCCCCAAGAGTTTTCCAAGCAAATGTGAAAAACTGAGAAAAAACAGGAAAATTGGTATAATATTAAACAAATTGTATTAAAGAAAATATATAATTCTATTTAATTATTTTACCATAATATGACATATATATTCTTGACAAAGAATCACTTTTAACTGAATTACGTTCAGAATTGTTTTTTGTTTACAATGGTTTATCATTGCTTACAGATATACATTAAATTACCTATAACAGTAGCTCCACTGATCCCCATTATCTTAACCCACATAAACCCAGTGGCCTATATGTAGGACACCGGAAATAATTATTGTTATCAGTTTTATTTTTAGAATTTTCCCCATATTATCGATTTAAACTGTTGGAAAATATAATAATCGACCCGATGATATTATTTTGCGTTATATGGTCGAACGTTATTACGCGTTAGTAACATTTTGTACACATACAAAAATTAACCTTGGGCGTAAATGGGTTAAGACGTCTTTTTTTTTAGTATAAATATATACCAAAAATGTATGAATACCATACACAAATAATAAATAATACGGAATGGCTCATGATGAACTGCGACAAAACGATAAGTTTAAGTTGACTTGTTGGCGATAAAGTGATAGAAACTAACATTTTTGAGGAATATCCATAACTGCCGATAAGATAAAAATAGAATATAAATAAATACAAAACTGATGTATTATTCACAACATTGTGTGCTGGAAGGTTAAACTCGACAATTTAATTTTGGCTTGCTTTGTGTTTTTCGTCAGTGTCCAAATCTCATGGTGTGAAATTATTGAAACTATTTTAATTACAAGGTGAACACTCACACTCTTATCTGTTCGCATATCATTTGCACTACTCAATTGCATCTAAGCCAATCTACCTCTTCTACTTATATGTATCTCCCATAATGCTTATTGCCTTTTTATCATTTTTCCTGTTAACATATCCTAGTAAATAATAATAGTCTTTTTCTCTCTATCTTGAATACATTCTTTGTAAATCATTTTTTTCTAGCTTTTCCATGTTGTCTTATACGTTACCTCTGTCTTCAAGGTCTAACCTCTAGGATTCTTAATTAAACTGTTCGTGTATCTCCACACTTCCTATATAAATTATAGAAAAAAAAAATAATTGTATAACATAATAATAATATACCTTTTTTTTTCAGATATGGGAGAGAGCAGGTGAAGCTATATGCGAACAAACTTTAGCTGATATATCATTTTTAACAATAAATGAAGGTAAATTAAAATTAAGCGATCTATAATTATCTAATAAATGTATTACGAATTATATTATATTGCATAATTATTCATTTTTTAAAAAAATGTGATTTGTTTTTTGTCATAATTGTTTCTATTATATTGATGGTGAATAAAATATTATTGATTTAATTAATTCATCGTCTCATTTTCTTCTGGTTTAAAATATATTTTTTAGTCAACTGCTATTCTCCGTGCTTCTTTGTCAAAACTTAAATCCCTTAATTGTAAATATTTGTAAAGCTATCTAAAAGTTGAAATTAATGGATAATTTATTCATAATTAATAAAGAATATGTTTACAATTGTTTGAGATTTGTTTAAATTTCTATTAAAAATAATGAAATCAAATTTAAGAGTATAATTTTTTTTCAATTAACAAATTATTATGTCAGTTGGTCAAAAATCCAATTATATTAAGTTGTTATTTGACTTTTAATTTTTTCAACTAACATTTATTATAAACTATTTTTAGTTTTGCAACTTATAGGCCTTGTTATATCATTTTAAATAATTAGGTTTGATACAGGGTGGGGCGCTGAAACGGCCGATTTTAAAATTATATTTTCTCAGTAGTAATTAAGATAATAATTCTCACTAAATATTATTAGTTCAAAGACAACATGCCATTTAATAAACATGGAACAGTGGAGCGATGAACAACGTGCTTATGCGATAAAATCGTTTTACAAAAATAATGACAGTTACGAAGCCGCACAACGTTCATTTCGTTTTCATTTTAATCTTAAACGCCATGATTCGGTACCACCGTCTAAGATTTTTAAAATATGAATAACCAACTTTGAAGAAACGGGTTCAGCATTATAAAGGAAACCTTAACGAAAAAAATCCATTCTCACACCTGAAAACGTCGCTGCTGTTAGGGCCGCTCTCACAAAGAGTCAAAAACGTTCTGCACGAAAACATGCGTTATCGTTAAATTTGTCCAGTAGAAGTCTACGTCGGATTTTACACAGCGACCTAAACTTTCACCCGTGTAAGGTGCAGGTAATTCAAGAATTAAAACCTGCAGATCTCTATAGCCGCACAACTTTTTGTCGAGAAATGCTAACCCGGATGGATGAAAACGAAAACTTTATTCAAAATGTTTCCAAAAATGGTGATATTCATTGACCGCCTCGATCGCCCGATTTATCAGTATGTGATTTTTTTTTTTTGTGGGAGTGTTCAAAAAGTAAAGCCTATGCACAGAAACCTCTAAATAATGATGAATTAAAAACCAAAATCAAAAAAGAAATCGCGAGTACACATTTGGAAGTGATATACCGTGTAGTGGAAAATATACGAAGTAGGCTAGAAGAGTGCTTGAGAAGAAATGGCCATCATTTTTAAAAAATAAATGGCAAGTTATGTACTTCAATATAATAAATAATAATTAATTTTTATCCGTTTATTTATTTTATAATTTATCTTTGAAAATCGGCCGTTTCAGTGCCCCACCCTGTATAAGTAGTATTGAAGTAAAGGATATTATATATATGAAATTAGTGTTGTTTGTTTCAACCGATTAATTCAGTGAGAGATGTAGGGAAGGTTTGTACATCATTATTATGTGTTATGTTGTTTCAAATAATATTTATTTTATTATTTGTAAATTAATTCTATGGATGCAAAATTAAATTACATTTTTTTTTTTTTTTTCTACTATTGTAACTTTCAGCAACAATTCAACCGAAAACCATTAAAATAATTTCGAAGAAGTAAGTAAATAAATAAATAATTATTGTTACTGTAAGTATGCACCATGGTTATAAAGGCACAGATAGTTCAGACTATTATTTTACATTACTTTTAAACTGAATAAATTTATGTCTCAAGATTAAGGTAACTTAAGGCTGAAATCATTGAGTTATAGCCTTCTATTCACTTAAGAACTTAACTTGCTACAATAAATACAATTTTATGATAAAAGTTGTATATATTAAAATGGAATTAGAAAGTTACGTTTTCTTATAAAAAACGTAAATTACCAAGTTATATAAATTATAAAAAAAACTTGTTTTAGATTGATACTTAATAAAAAAACAAAATACTATAAGTATATAATTATTTTTTTCCTAGATATTTTTATTAGCTAAGGCCTTTCACAGATTCTATTAAACATCTCCATATATCGCAGTCTTTTGAATTCTTGAGTTATGCTGTTCCATCTAACATGTTAATGTTTTTATTCACTCTATCTTACAACTGTTTCTGAGATCTAAGGCATTCAAACTTCAAAACGATGATAAATGATAATATTAGTCGACGATCACCGCCTCACCACTCTTGCTGTGTATTACTATACAGTTTTACATTAGGGGAAAACAATTTATTTTTGTACTAGTGATTAGATTGATCGAAGTAACAATATCAGGTATACATAAATCATTGATAAAGAAAAAAAATACACAGATAGTAACAAACAAAACATTTTTAGACAATTAAGCAATATTTTTACAGCAAATAAAAACTGTTTCCAAACTTAAAAGTAGTAATTTTAATATATGGAATAAAATTAACTAAGATGCATCACCCAACACTTGTTGAATAATTCAAATTATAATCAAACACAAATGATAGCAAATTACCAATCTCAATCTAATGATTCCATTTACTCACACACTTAAGACAACACTTGTGAAACTTGCAAAAAAATTTATATTTTTAGCAAATAACTAGGGAAATTGAAAAAAAAAGATTGACATATTTCGTACGTGGGTGCAGTCACTGTTGTAGATGGGAAGGTAGGATACAGACAATAAATTTAATGTAAACAACAATAAACCATTACTAACGAAAAACGATTCTGAACAGAGTTCAGTTAATAGTGTGGCTTTATCAACAATATATATATATATTATGTCATATATGGTAAAATGATTATAGCAATGTGCATTTCCATGACAACAATGATTGTTTAAAAAATATTAAAATAATAAAATAACAACAAAAAATAAATAAAGACGGTTGCCAAGGACAACCTTATTTTTAATAGTTCAATCTTTTTTAACCAAAAAAACTAGATTTTCCTGATTATCTAGAATATTAATAAGGATTTCATAAAATGACCTCTGTAAAGTACCACCCAAAGATTTCCTTTCAAAAAAAGTGCTATACTTGATAATGGGAGTAAGCTTTCGTGTATAGTGTTCACAAAAAAAATAATTATAATAAACATCATGCACGCGTGCTCAGAATTATAGTAAGTAGATAGAGATATCATTGCAGTAAAAGTAACCCATTATAATTTTTGCAAAGTTATTCAAAGTTTTCTACCCATATAATTTTGATGCTTTATTCTCATCTCATATAATGTGATTTATGAGGAGAAAAGTAGCCTATACTAATGATGTAAGTCATGTATTGCACCAGTAAAGATAATAGTAATTTGATCTTCAATTTTCGCATATTGGACCATTGTTAAAAAAGATAATAAATTATCTTATTTATATAATTTTGTTTTGTAAATAAAATAATTATTTGTTTGTATACATACGTTTTTATTATTTTTTCATTCTAAACCAACAATTGTTTACTTCTTTTAAGCTTAATTTTCTATTTTAATGTCTGTGCAACTACAATATTATAGGTTTAATTAAATATAAACCATACAATATTATATATATATATATATTAACTATCATCAGTTAAAATATTTATAAACATTAAATTAAGTAACTGTAATAACAATCATTTTATTTTGTTTACATACAACACAAATTAATGGAGAAAAGAATATTTAAAATAATATGTACATGTTTTACTACAAGAGAATAGAATTAAATACATTTAAGTAATATTACAATTTCCATAATTGAACCAAAGCATTGCCAAGACCATCGCCCATAAAAGTGACTTGCAAAAATCCAGCTAAAGTAACAATTGCAAGAAGTGTAATTGCTACATGACCAGCTTTATTAGCAAGCTGTCCTACCACTGGTACACGTAAGTAGTCAACTACTAATGCTTCCATACCCCTTTAAAGAAAAAAGAAAATTAATATTAACATAACATAATATTTTTAGTTTTTCAAGTAATTCACAAATAAATACAATATATTTTAATCTAAATGTATTCAAATATTACAATTATTATTGTACAGTGTATAATACCTTTATAAATTAGTTTTTACCTCAACTTTTACATAGTCTAAAACAAAATTATTTCAAAATCATACTTTTTTTTGTGATTGAATCTATTTAGAATTTTTATCATTATTCAAACCCAAGATTCTAAAACTAAATATTCCATTGGTATAAGGAATTAAAAATATTCAAAAATAAAATTAAAAAATGTACGGACATAATTTGCACAATGGGTGAGCCACTATTGTAGGTGAGAAGTTGGGAAGGTGGGATATAGAGGGAAATTGAATACATATTTGAATGCAACAATTAATTTTTGATAACAAAAAAAAGATTCTGAGCGGAGTTTGATTATAGATATTTTAAAAGGCCATAATATTAACGATTTGAAAATAATATTTCTTATGTTTTTTCCCATTTAATATGAAAACTTCATGTAAAAACCAAAAAATTACTACCCAAAGTACCACCTCAGTTAGATCTTCTTTCTGAAAAAATGCTTTACTTAAAAATTGGAGCAAAATTTCTAGTAAAAAAGTTGTTAAAAAAACAAAATAAATATCATTATAAAACCAATACATTCCTCACTCCGCTTAGAATCTAAAATAAACTAGACCAACTGAAATTTGAGTTCTTAGAGTTTTCACTGTTCTTATAAATTAATTTTAACTACCTAGTAAATTGTATTGTACTTCAATTTTTTTATTTAAGCTATACAATTTGGATCTTTTGTACTTGTACAATTTACAAATTAATTATCATAATATTTAAATAATGATTTTACCAGTAAATATGGATACTAGTACTTATTGCTAATAAAGTATCAACTATTGGTGATGAATACAATATTGCAGCAGGAAACAATCCCAGAAGTGCTATAGAAACAATACGTTCACTTCTCCAGAGACTAGCATGGTTTTTATCGCTCTTCACTGCCACAGTACTACCAGCAAAACGAGCAACAATCGGAGCACTTACAAGTGGTTTCTAAATTAAAATATAAGAGTTAACATGAAATGAAATAGAGAATAATACTTGTGTTAAGAACACTCACAATTAATGATTTTTTGCCCAATTGAGTGACAGTGTTAAATTGATTCAAACATTTGGGCAGTGTACGAAATGACATCTGTCTTTGAGCCACAGAAACTGCACCTATATACAAAAAATAAAATTATGGTTATAATAATGTCAAAAAAAGACAATGATAATTATAACATATACTTACAATTGGTTTGGCGAAAAAGTTTCAAGCTCAACATTTTGAGTTGTTAATACAACAAAAATGTATATTAAGTTTTAACAAATTAATTTATTATAATAATTACAATTGCCTATGGTATTTAATTAAGTGAAGTAGGTATGACTTTTTTTTTTTTTTTTAATTAGTAGAATAGACAGTAATAGTTAGTTTATTAGTGTTATGAAACACAAAATATGCCTTGAATAATGAACATATGATCGATCGCGACCTCGCTTTATTATCAATACAATTATCACAATATTCAGCAACCAAAATCATGGTTCTGCCCACGATTAGGTTCTCTAGAAAAATGATAAAAATGAAAAGTTGATATAGATTAAATATACACTAGATAGCCCACTGGCACAGATACATCTTTAATTCGTGGTCGCTGGTATAATCGCTGGGAGCCCTTATAAGATACATTATATAAGCTCTCTAGTAAAAGCGAAAGGGACACATAAATTGGGTAATAGCACAACGTGTCAATAAATAGCGCACACGGTCGCAATTTCCATAAATTAATTGTTATAAAAACCAATTATTCAGGGAATATTGTTATGTGCACCACGGGAATTCGATCATCATTCAATTATTAAAACCGGATTAAACTAAAAATACCAAAACTGCGATAAGAAGTAACGGAGTGGTAATAATACTAGTAGCAGGTCCAATAAATAAGATAAATAAACCTGTGAATTTAATGTTATTTATATGAATATTATTTAGGTATAATAAATTAACATTAAACAATTTAATAATGTTCTGACGTGACTATAATTGTAATTTGTATTTGACGAGTTGCGTAGGTAGTTGTATCTGCATGGTAAATACATTTTTATAATTTTCATATAAAATTGAATAGATACCCTTCAATAATGTCTGATCGTGGTAATAAGTTTTGTTTATTTAACTATGAAAAAGTCCTGGAGGTCATCAAAATTTTAAACTAAACGATACCGTTTTATTAAGAATGTTAGCAGATTTATAGACAATGGATACGTAAATTAGGTGAAATAAAAAATAAACAAATGCAGTTTAGTTTTCAAAAAATGTAGGTATGTTTCTGAATTTGAAATTGTTTGTGAAAATTCTCGCATTTTTTTAAAGTTATATCATAAACTAAAATACAATTTATTTTTTAAAAATCGTTATACCTATATACCGTTATATCTATATTCTCAATAAAAATATCAAAATTTGATTTTTAAAAATGGTGTCTACCTGTTTTAGATTCTGAACGGACCGAGGAATGTACCTATTGGTTTTACAATGATGTTTATTTTTATTTCTATGAACAACTTTTCTACTAGAAATCGTCTTCTAATTTTCAAGAGTAGCGCTTTTTCTGAAAAGAAATCTGTCTGGAGTGATATTTTAAGGAGGTGAGTTTTTAATAAAAAAATAGTAAAAAAAAAAACAAGATAACGTAAGAAATTTATTAGTAAATATTACGGTCTTTTTTCCCCTGTGGACATTTTATATTGAATTTTCGGTATCACCAAGCTTTTGAAACATAAAAACGATTTTTTATAATGCGATACTAGCGTATTGAATCTAAACTATTATTTGAAATCCAAATTATATATTTTATGGGCATCCTAATATATTACAAGTCAGTGTGCTATTTAGTGTATATTTAATCTATGTAGTTGATATGAAAGTCCAAAGGACGGACTCAGGTATACTTAGTCCGTGGTCCAGAAATTATCAAACTGCAAACAAAATTGCACTCTGTGAGGTAGATAGGCAATATATACGCATAAAATATGCACAATGAGAAGTCGACTAAAAGTGCCAAGAAAAAAAAGCTTACATAGCGGCGCAGAGAAGTGGCCGATTGTGGTAAGTTTGAAGTTCGATATAAAATAGAAGAAAAGCCGTTTGAAAAAATTATATTTCACCGAACGATAGCTTCAGAAGTGAACTTTCGATACTGCGTGTTTAGATAAGCGTCTCAACTCGGAAAAAATGGTATAGGAGCTTAGCAATAATTTGATTTTTAAAGCTGTTTTCGTATCCATTAGGAAAAACGGAAAAATATAAAAGAAACTTCACTTCGAATCGTTTTACGTTAGCAATGGTTTATCGTTGCATACAGATATAAATTGAATTTCCCTATTTAATCTACTTTCCAAACTTCTTGCCTATAACAGCGGCACATTCATCGTGCGAACTAGAGGGCATAATAGTATATCATTTTTCGTAAATTTAAATTCCACTTCGGTTTGGTTTTGGGACACATAAGTTGGCGTTGCGTTGAAAAAAAAAAAAGTGCAGCCCCGATAAAAAAGTTGGAGTAGCTACCCCTCGCTACCACGTAACGATGCCTACGGATATATGTACATTGCATACTATGATCAGAATTAAATGAAATTGAGCAATCGTGCCCGCAAAGTTGTACGCGAAATTGGCGCATATCGGCTATACATTGACAGATAGTACAGATAGTATCTTTCGGGCGCATTTGTCCACATCACTCGGGGCGCAAATGGGCTGTAGCCCGTACTACAGCTAACGTTTTCTACTATAAATATTGCTCCAATAGACAAAAACAAGAGATATTTTTTTTGTTGTTGTATTTTTATTCTAGTTGATAAGTAAAAAAGTCTTTTTCGATTTTCCATGTAGTTTTTATAATAATTGAGCAAAATTAGAAAAAAAAAAAAATAAAAAAAAACCGTATAAAGAACGGGAAAATTTACTAAAATAATTCTTTCATTATATTCAACTTTGTTTTTTTGTTCTAATTCAGTTTAAAATATTCGTAGTGACTTGAAATATTGACAAAAAACTTATACTTGCCTTTTCTAAACATGGTGAAATATTCAAAGCATTTGAGTCATTTTTAAGCTATTTATAGATATTTTAAATTTACTAGTTTTAGTTTTTATGTTATTTAGCGGGTACTCTGTCGATAAAATTGTTAAACTAAATAGAAATGTTTGAAAATTAAACAGGAGATTACTCCTTATTTTTTGTGGTGTAGACAATTCGATTTACATAACACAATGATACTAATTTCTTATCAAATTCCTCGAAATCAAATAAATATCAATAGATAAAATTAATCGATTATACCGATTACTGATAATTTAACATTTGTATGGACGAATTATTGTGCAGTTAACCAAGGTTAATAGAATATACTATAAAAAAATAACTTATATGTTTATACACTGTATAATTATCATTTTTGTAGAAAACATATTCTAATAACCATTGGCAGTTGTTAACTACATTGTAAGCTCTGTTAGGTGATCGTGAGCGGAACGTATTCAAACTATTGTCAAATTCACTCTGTTATCAGAATGAAAATGATATCTTTTATTCTTTGTTATCTATATGGAGATGGACTAAATAGTAAATATTATGAAAATGTAGTTAATATTATTTCATCGAATAGTGTACTAATTTTGTATTATTTGTTTTACTAATTCATTAGATGTACTGTAGCTAGTATTCATATTTTTTTATCGATGTAACCCATTTACCGATGTCAGCCCATTCGCCAGATTCGATCGTCCACCACCGGTCTAACACCAAACATGTGCATCCGGTGGTTGGCTTAAAACGAGTATCATTTCATGAAGACGTTATCGAACCAGGCAATGGAAATCTCATTCAAACACGAATAGCAGAATATTATACTGAAAGAGAAGCTCCTGAAGGACAAGAAGACCCACTACCAACTGAGGTGGAATCCAAGCGATCTGTTTTAATACCGAAAAAACCAAAGTTTCCTTCCCTTTACATACACAGTTTCAATGTCAATCTCAAGTCTCAACAAATAGTTTTAGATAAAATACAGTTAGAAATGAATGAAAAAAAATGGAGTAACGTTTGGAATAAACATTTAGATATAGCTTCTAACCAACTTATCAACATCATTAAAAGAGATATTTCATTAAAAACCAAAGAATCTGTTTATAAAGTAAAAATATATGATTTGTATTTTAATGTTCCATTTTATTTTTATTGCATTAAATTGTTTATCATTTTATTTTAGGTGTACAGGATGTTAAGCACTGGTGGATCACCTTTATTTATAGTTATTACAAATATACGGTTTTGTGTTTTAACTAAAAATGTATATTCTAAAAGATTAGAAGTTTTTTATAGTTCAAATTTCACGAGCTTAGACCTAATAGTTTTAGGTCCAAATGAACAAACTGCAGTATTTGTTAGCGAAAAGTCAAAAAAATGTACTTTAATGACAGCAATAGATGTGCAATCAGCTCTTGAAATGATTGGCAGTCTTGAATTTGCTTACAGACATAGTGGACTTTATAATCCAAATACTGCATTTGTGGTCATACATATTAACCATAATGATAAATTATATGAGGCTGTAAAATCTCAAATTTCAATAGCTAAGGTAAGCATGCCATTAATTGTCTACTCTATGAATAATGTGTTTCCAATTTGTTTACCTAAATTATTTTCAGAATGATAAAATAAAATATTATACTTGGTTGTGGTATTATAAAGAAATTGAATCTTCAAATACATCAAAATCTCATTTAGAAGAATTTTTAATGGTTAAAAAAGGATCAATATGGAAACCAAAATTTGTGCGTTTAAGGTTATTATTAGTTTAATAAAACAAAAATGTATACATATTTACAAAATAAGGCTAAATAAATAAACTTAATCATGTTTTAGTGAAGATATTTTATACATATTTGATGATCCAAATCAAAAATTATCATGTGAATCTATACCATTAAAGTTTGGTCGTTGTAAAAAAGTGAGAAAAATTTGTTGTGATCGACCACACTCTATTGAAATTTCATTGATTAATTACCCAATAATTTTGGCACCAGCTAATTGTAGTCAAGAAGAAAAATGGTTTAATGCTCTTAGTTATGCTATGATGGGAGTAAGTTAAGAATTATAATTTTAACTTATTGTATAATTATTAGTTTTTAGACTTTATTTTAATGAAAAGTTATTAGTTTAAGAAAATATTATAAAATTATGATTTATTAAACTCTCACATAATAAAAACCATACTTATAAACAATCAATTTCTATAAAAAAATGTAAATTAATGTGAATAATAATAATTTAAAATACATATGGCTCATTGATCTAATTACACGGGTGTCATAATATTATTAATACAAATTAATTAATCCAATTTCAAGATGTTGTCGAACCCTCACATTACCAATTTTGATCTTGGTGTTCCACAGATTTGACACATACTGACAAAATATTTATTTTTATATTAGATTAAATTATGAATAATAGTGATAGATAGGGATATGAGAAGTGTGAGAATAAAAGTTAGTGGAGTAAAAATCAATAGGAAGAAGTTATTTTATAAAATTATTTATGATATTTTTATTTAACTGTATTTTTATTCATTTTCAGCATAAAAATTTCAATGTTGAAACAAAATTACCTGATGGTTACTGCTGTTTATTAACCAATACTCATATTGTATTGTACAATTTTCCACACACAATTATTGACAGTATGATGTTAGTAAATCTGGATTCATTAAAATGTTCGCCTTCGCCATCACATTATTATGTTGTCATTGTAAGAGATTAAATAAAATGTAAAATTTTATATTAATAAATAAGAAAATGATTTAAGAATAACAATATTTATTCTTAACAATTTTTTTCCTTTTTATGGATATGTATAATTTCACATCTTAATCACTGATAACTTTAATTTACATTCTGAATCTATAGTAATAATTATTAATGTGTATGTTTTGATCACCTAGGAATGGTCCTGTTATGATGCAACATTAGAGGAAACTTCCAATGATTGGGTTGTGCATTTTTCTTGTAAATCGAGTTGTGATGAATTTATATCATGGTTGTGTACACTAAGATCAGATTTAAATGCTATTGAATTAACTGAAAAAAAGTCTATACAGCGACATGCAAAAAATAATATTAATTTACGAAGCTCACTATAAAAACAAAAATATATTTAACTATTTTTATGCTTATAACCTAAATCAATTAATATTTAATTTTTAATTTTTTGTTACCACAAATTAAGCTAAAGATTATGTTTTCACATTGATCGATTTATTAGTTATCCTTTTATTGATTTTTTTTTTTAACATTAACAAAGTAAAAATAAGGTGCTTATTTAAGATTAAGAATTTTTCTTTTTTGTGATTTAGTAGGTATTTATTTTATATTTTAATGTTATTTATTAATTAATAATTTTTTATTTTGTAAAATATTAGTTCCTGTGATAGAATAATTACAAATTGTCATTTATTTGTTTCAAACCATGTATAATTTGTGTATTAATGATTTTTTTTAAAAAATTTGTATGTTTTAAAGACTGTTTAAAATGTAAACAAATCTGATCAGGAAACACAAAAATAACACTGCAATGAGGTTTAAATTTCTCAAACTATGTAAAGAATTTTATTCTAAAATTATATGCCTATATTTTATACCATGAAATCTGTTTTTAATATTATGCTACATTTGATATTAAAACTTTGCTTACACATATGATAGTTTTTATCATTGATTATATAAAGTTAGTCCTTTATACTTTAGAATAGATAAAATTAAATTTTCAAGCATTTCTGTTAAGTCTAACAATTTTATTTTACTTATAATAGTCAAGTTATTTCCCTTATTAACCAGGTAACACAGAAATCAACAAAAATTAAACAATACAAAAGGGCATAGGAAATGAACTGCTGGAAATGTTTCAAATAAAGTATTAATGGATAGAATTTTCACATCTATTGAGATACTGCATGAAACAATTTGAGCATTTGTCTAACCAAGTCCTGTTTTGTTTTTGTTTTTTTTTTTTCTGAAGTTGTAAAATTCTCATTCGTAAATATTACGACCTTTCAAAACATATATAACTGAACTCCGCTCAGAATAATCGTTGCGTACTGATATACATTAAATTCTTCTCTACATCCTACCTTCCCAACTTCACATTTACAACAGTGGTCCATCCATCGTGCGAATGATCTTTTTAAAGGTTAAAAGTTTGAAAGTTCGGTTATAAATGTTTTGAAAATAATACATTTCGTAAATTTCCCGTTTTTTCTATGGGTCTCTGATTTTTCCGATTTATTTTTAAAAATCTTGAGAAAATCAAAAAATGACTTCCATAAAATACCACTGGAGTTAGATTTTCTTTCAGAAAAAGTGCTAGACTTTAAAATCGGAGCATAATTTCTGGTAGAAGAAATGTTCACAAAAAAAAAATAAACATCATTGTAAAATTAATATATTCTTGGCTCCGCTCAAAATCTAAAATACACTGAAGGAAGACGTTTCGGGAAAAGGGGGTTGGGGTTCTGATCTCCCCACTGTGTGCGCCAATAACGGGAACTTTTGAGAGGGATGAATGTAGATTAGAGGTGCAGGTATTTATATAATAGTGTCAAAACCCGCAGGGAAGCTTAACACGAAAAAAAATATGATGGTTGGGTTAAGACTTTTGTTAACTGTATGTGCTCTCAAAATAATTCCCCTGTGCGCATTTTTAAGCACGCAACATCGCTCCGGAGTAGTCTGGACTACCAACTATTTGGGTGTTCCGCGTGTAGTTCCCCACATTGGGTACATGTGTTTTAGGCGTTTTTCTCGAAGATATGAAAACGAAATTCACATGGTCGCATGATATTGTATTACAATGCAATATATCACACTATACGTCGCGCTTACGATATTAACAAGATATACACTGTCACGCGCGATAATTCGACCAACCCGACCCAATTATATCGTACACTGAGACTGCTACAAGATATTTCAACGATTTACGACCGAAAATGATTACACAAATTATTGATATATACGAGCGTATATTATAATATTACGGGTAACGAGAAACTGCATGACAGACTTGTCGTTTTTGCAGACTGTGTGCGAGACGAAAACACTAAAATTTTTGTATGGTTGTTGATTTTTATGTTTTAAGCGAAACGCAAGGAATACGTATTGGTTGTGCTTTGGTTTCAATCAGTCGTGTTGTAGTCAGGGGATGGGCTTCCGGACTCAAACCCTCCTCCTCCGAAATTTCAGACGATAATAATATTTTAAAGCCAATTGAAAATACAATTAAATGTCATTTATTTTACATAGGTATTTGATACAATAATGCCGTGATTGCCCGACGCCCGGAAACGGAAAATAGTCATAAGTTTATAGTGTGGAGGATGGAAAGAGCGGAGTCCCTTTACTTACTTAAAGTTTAATTATCAGTTCCCATTAGTTTAAATCTTCGATATTCAGAAGGACTAAAATTAATTGTATTCTCACAAGAACATTTTTGATGCAATTTTTTTTTTTTTTTCGGAACTTTGTAAAAAAACAAATAGTTACAACAATCAAAGTTAAATTACAATTAATTAAAAGGATAAAATAAAATTATTACTATACAAAAAAGAAAGCAAAAAAAAAGAGCGGCCACTGTTGTAGGTGAGAAGTTGGGAAGATAGGATACATAAGGTCGTTTCATTTATATCTGTAAACAACGATAAATAATTGCTTGACAAAAGACGATTCCGAGCACAGTTCGGTAATACATAATTTGAATTGCCGTAATGTTTTATGCGATTTTCGTTTAAATTTGATTTCAAAACGATTATTTAAAAAAAAAAAAATAGTCCGATGATTTTGGAAATTTTACCACGTCTAGGTAAGTCCAATACAAATATTATTACTAAGTATCTACGAGTATTTATAACCGAATTACAGCAAACAAATTTTTAAAAATTAAAATTCCTTAAAAGCTCAAGTTTTCTCGATGATACTGTAAGAAAGTAAGTAAAAATGGCAATAAAAAAAAAGTGTCTTGTAATTTTTCGATTAAATAATTTTTTCTGGTAGAAAACGTTGTCGGTGTTTTTATAAAACAATGAAATCGTGAAATTGTACGTTTTCCTACGTTTTTTCTCATTTAAGCGCTTTATTTAAAAAATGGCGTCGAAAATCAAAAAATAACTTGTTTAAAGTTTTTAGACAATTGTTTGAGCTATCAGAAAAATCGTTACACGTAAAAACCGGAGCAAATTTACTAGGAAAAAACATGTCCACAGACTAGAAGAAAGAAAACAAAACAGAATAAATAAACAGCATTGTAAAGCCAATAGTTCTCTCCTCGCTACGCTCGGAATCTAAAAGAAAAATAATAATAAAACAAGGTACATAAATACATATATTAAATACATTATAACAAAAATTATATTTATATATAATATAATGCATAGGTAAATTATTTTATCATTATGTGACAAAGCAACACAATTAACCGAACCACGCTCAGAATCGTATTTCGTTAGCAATGATTAATCGTTGTGTACATTAAATATGCATTAAATTTCCCAACTACCTTCCCAACTTTTCACCTACAACAGTAGTCTACCCGAGTGCGAAGTACGCCTTTTCTGTGTACGTGCCTGCGAGCATCTTATTATTGCATGTTTTTAACGATCGAGCTTTTATCGAATACTTGTCAATTTTTTTTTTACGATTGATGGATTTCCCTATTTTCTGTTATTATTCCTTTTCTTATACATTAAGTCTCAGGAGAACCTGATGGTATCCACATTTACTACAACTTAGAATTTAAACAATACACATTCCGACGGTAGTGTATACCTAAAATAGCATGTCTGTAACTCTGATAATATTTAAGAGAAAAAAAAGAAAATGCAAAGTGATGCGTTCGAAAATATTCATCTCTTTGAATTTGTTAGCAAATGTTTACACTCTCATCGGCGGTGCATGCGACGGGAACGGGCGCGGTACGTAGGCCGTTGTCGGTTTTTCGAGTGGACACCGTATAATAAATTCGTGTTGGGAGAAACCCCCGCGATTGGATACCCAACCGAAAAAGATGATAGGCCACCGCCCCTAAAATAATAACAATAACAACAATCTTGTAGCGCACGCACGCGCACGACAACCCCACTGGCCGAAGGAGGCGGTCTCGTTTACACGATGTTCTTCTGCCATCAACCGGCGGCGGACGCCGCATTCTGGGCGACCGACAGTCCCGAGCCATCAGAGACGGTTCTTGCACGCGTGCCACCGCCCGGCGTCGTCGTAGCCATTAAATCACGCGTATACGATTATAATATTATTGTATTGTACCCGTCGTTTACGTTGATTCGGCGTAACGTCGTCTGTAACGTTGATTGGATTTTGCGTAACTCGTCTTGTCGAAAGCCCGCGACGTTCTCACCGCGATCGTTGCTCGTTTCCGCGTTTTCGGCGAGAATTCGTCGACACAATGCTCGGCGAACTGCAGCAAGGCGTCGCCGTCATCGGAGGCTCGTTCGGCATCAGGCCCGTGGATGTCGACGAGTACGCGTCCGAGAACACCAAGAGGTTCACGGTGGACTCGCTGTTGCAGATCAGACGCCCGGCCGCCGCAGTCAACAAGCGTCCCGACATTTCTTTCGACGGAGGTGACGATATTAAAATATTTTTTCATTGTATTAGTAGGGCCAGGATTTTAATATAATACGCATATTATATTAGCATTGATTAAATATAGGTACCATATTTTTATTAATTTATTCTACGTTATTTTAGAGTACTTTTAGGACAATATATTTTTCGTTGTTTTTTTTTTCCATTATACAATAATAATATTAAATTAATTTTTTAGGCATTCTATTCACATAAGTATGACTTTTTAATGTGATATTAGGCGCTACAACATATTAGATAGGTATCTTAAAACATTTTGATATATAGGGATGGGTGAACCTAATTACAAAATTGTTCAATAGCTGCAATTCGATTTAGTTTTGACTTATATTATAGTGTAATACGTGAAATAAAACAAAATACATAATCTATGATATCATTAATATCAGTTAACAGCATAAATGATGGTCCAGGCTGTTTTTTTAGTAAATATCATTAGAAATAACATTAGAAAAGCCCAAACTTCTCACGTTCTTGCTCAGTTTTGTCCTAAAATTCGTCACTATGTAAAAGATGGATCGTGTACAGATATATAGACACGGACAAGGACAAAGTAATAAAATAGTTAACGTCACTTAATAAAAACGAAATTGAATTCAATTTTAGTTTATTTTCACCCAATTCACGTATCTATAAAATAACAAAATACTGTTATTCATTAATATATTACACTAATAAATTTTCACTTTAATTGTTTATATAAATTATTTACCTATACTGCAGTGTATACATGTTTACACTATTATTAATTGGCACCGGTTTTTAGATTTCAGCACGGGGGCAAACAAACAACTTAAACAACTGTACATGGTATTTTTTTGTACACAAATGCAAAATACTATTTTTACGTTTTACCTCCGTTACAAGAGAAGTCTGCGTGATTCTATGCAGTGTTATTTATAGTGTCTATATAATTCTATAATTTTCTATATGTTCCATTAATGGATACACCGTAGTAAGAAAAATTGTTGCATACTAGGTAATAGGTATCAATTTATTAAGTACCAATTAGGTTAATTATAGGTAGGTTAATTATAATAAGTACCTACTTAACTGTGTGTCCATTTGGACACAGAAAACATCTTTCAAAAAACGTCCTGTATTATGATATTGCAATATTTTGTAAGAGTATTTTAATAATTGTTTAAGTACACAGTAGATCACCTTTTATTTAATTAAAGTATACCTAGCATATTATATTAATAAAACAAGTATTTTATTTTATTTTATAAATAGGAAGCTTCAACCTCCACACCCATGTTTCTTGTTAAGTGTATAACCATGCGGTGTAATATTTTCGAGTCATATACAATGGAATAACTCGAATCGGTTGGGGGCGAAAAAAAATTCGAGTTATCGAAAATTCGACTTATGGAAAACCTCGATAACTCGAATCTGCATAAAAAAAATTCGAGTTATTGGAATTATTTTTAAAATACAACTAAAATTACTTCGACTTATCGAGAAATTCGAGTTAGCGAAATTCGAATTATCGAAAAAATTTATCACACATATCATATATTGGAAGCCAGGGGCCAAGGTATTCCTTCGAGTTATCGAAAATTCGACTTATAGAGGTTCGAGTTATCGAGGTTCCACTGTATCTAATTTTATGGTGCAAAACCATTTATTGAAAAACACATACTACAATTTATACTTACAAATTACATTTCTATTGGACATATTTTAGACTATGCGTTAAAAAAAAATAAAAATAAAATGTAAACCACAAATTAGTAAAACGTGTTTTACACAGTTATATTTAGGAAAAATTGTCGGTATTCATGTAAATTCCTTATGTAGTTTTTGAACTTCCAACAATACGAAAACAAAAAACATATGCAGTTATATATTATATTAACTTTTGAGCGTTATTGCAGTTAAATAGATTTATTTGAAAAGGTATTTTGGTATTTTATAAAGTATACTATACATATTTTGAGTGCACATTTTGGACTCTGAGCGAAGAGAGGAATATATTGCTATATATATGTATAATATGTATTGGTTTTTTTTAATTTTTGTTTTATATAATGTGAACAACTTTTCTACCAGAAATCTTGCTCCGATGTACAAAGTGTAACACCTTTTCTGAAAGGAAGTTTTATCTAATTAATACTTAAAAAAAATCATTTTTTGATTTTTTAAATGGTTTTCATAATAATTGGAAAAAACCCAGAAAAAACGTAGGGATAAATGGACAAATATTTACGTTATAACGATTGCATGATTTTACATTTATGTATTTTATATTATATTTATGTATTTTTCTCCTAAAAACCTTAGTGCAATCAAAAAATGACAAGAGACCTTTTTTGTTGTATTTTGGATCTAGTTGCTCACTAGTATTTTGATTTTTCAAGTAGTTATCATAATCGAAAAACCAAGAAAAGACGTATAATGAAAACTGATAAATTTACAGCATTACGATTTCATTATTTTTAAAGTTAGATTATGAGTTGTACGAGGAATGCATTGGTTTTACAAAGTTGTTTTTTTTCTACAAATAACTTTTCTACCAGAAATTTTTTTTCGAGTTTAGCACTTTTTCTGAAAGGAAATTAACTGGAGTGGTAACTTTAGGCAGGTCATTTTTTGATTTTTCCAGGAATTATCACAATAAATGGTGAAACCGGGAAAAACATAGGAAATTTACGAAATGTTATGTTTTCAAATCGTAAATATTACAACTTTCCATAACGTGTATAACCGCACTGGGGGGACAACTTCAAGGACGTAATTTCTCCTCTACTTCTCCTTTACATTCCCAACTTCTAACCTATAACACTGGCCCACTCATCGTGCCAAGTATGTCCATCATATTTTATATACAATGGTTATATTTTTTTTGTATCTACTTATATATTAACAATTTATGTTTGGATTTTGAGTGAATTTTGCTCCTATCATCAAAATCAGAAGTGATTTCTGGTAAAAAAATTTGATCTAGTTGATGCATTAAGGAAATTATTTTTCGATTTACCTTACACATTTCTTAATAATGAATAAGGGAATCAAGGAACATAGTAAATATCTACATAATAACGGGCTCTGTTAATTTAATTTAATTTTTTTTTTTTGGTAATTCAATGAAAAATAACCGTAGAGATGATCCGATATTTTCATTGAATACTCATGTTACCATTTTTTAGACGTATAATTTTTAAATATTCTGAAATTTTTAAAATTATTTATAGATATTTGAAATTGACAAGTTTTTTTTTGTTTATCGGTGTCTATAAGTGGATATCATTTTTATTGACCAGTAAAAATGTTCAAAAATATTATAGGTACGTGACTATTTAATTATTTTAAGCAAAAACCTCATATAGTAATATAAATCTAAATCCTTGGCTTTAGAGCTATAATTAATTTAATACATGTTTTGGATCTATCAATTAACTGCTCTCAACAGTGAATTTTGAAAGGGTTTGTTTTTCAAACATCAAAATTCTCATATAAATATTATTTATGTTTCCACTTTTAATAGCAACCTCTAAAAGATCATTTTTGACCCTTGGAAGAGAAAAAAAACTATACAATGTGTGAGTTAATATTAAACGAGTTAGCTCTCATAGGCGTCGCCAGGATATTTTTCAGGGGGGGGGCTCATAGTATACGCTGATTTCTAAATAATGCATTAATAATAATAATTATTATTATTATTTAAGTAAAATTTTTTCCAAAAGAACCGTAAAATTGGTTCAAGTACGAGTACCAGTTTGAATATTAATGAAAATAAAACTAGTTTAAAAAACAGTCACGAGACAGGTTATTTAAGTAGGTACTATCGATATCAATCAACAAATGACAAACAAAAAGAAGTGCCATAGTTCCTTCATAAGTTGACTATTAATGTTAATAAATTAGATATTGGACTGTATTTAAATTCCTATGTTGATGATGAACTAAATTTTAAATTATTGAAAGAGCTTCGAGTTCTTCCTAAAAAAAAATGACTTTAAAAAAGATTTGAGCAACGGCTCTACGAGAGAATTTCGTTTAGAATGGTTTGCAACTTATCCATGGTTACATTACTCACCTGTTTCCAAGGATCCAATTATTTTTCAATATTTTTTTTTTTTTGAAAAACCAGGTGAGTGCAATTGTTAGCTCTATTAAATATTTATACAGATAAACATGTAGATATATTGATTTAGTTTTCAATCGGTTTGTTAGAAAGAAAAAAAGAAGAATGCAATCAGAGAAGTAGTCTATCTACCTAACTGTTTAAAATATACAACTATGTGCATATTTAGAAATTATATATTTAATATTTTGTCTTATATAGTATTGTTTAATAATATATACCATATACGTCTTATATAAATAAAAAATAATGTACAAAAAAGTATCAGCAATCAGGCTTATACCGTTCTACAAATTATAACCAAAATACATACACATTGAACAACTGATTTTACTGACTGTTTAAGGCTCAAATTATTAATTCGTTTTTACCCCGGATTTATACTTAATAGTCAATTAAGAAACATTATTAGGAAAATAGCAACCACATAAAAATTAATTCTAGATCCATCACTGGTATGAATCATTTAGGTAATCTTTGTCAAAATAGTTTCTTTTTGTATAACTAACATAATAGAAACAACATAAAAAAAAAAAAAACAAGGGCGGGAGATTAGGCACCTAGATCCCTCAACGATTTGCCCGATGTAGTATGTTAAGTAGTATGTTTATACGTACCACGTCATTAAAATGTAAAATTGTGTGGATTTATACCTACTGTTGGTCGAATAAGGTTAGTACACAGTATAATATTTTATTCGGTCAGTGATAATCGTTATTTCACATTCACAGACGTCTATGGATTTAAATTTAGCAGCAGACACGGTTGAGTCTGACTTACGGTGCGCATCCGTCTTGCCACCGCGCCATATATACCGAAATCGGCAAACCTTTATCCCTATTCCCTATAACATACTTTCAAATTTTAATATAACTATATTAGGTAAGAAAAAATAAAGCCATTTATTTCGCAAAAGTAATTTATTTACTTAACATAAATGTGATTTGTAATTTGTTCAGAAACAATCGGCCAATGTGGGTGGGCTAAGTAAATTTGGCCCCAACAACCTATTTTTAACTTAACGGCCGAAGGGATTATTTACGAATTCGGGGATTTAATTTACAATTATTTACAATGGGTTTACAATTGTTTACTGAAATTTGTTCTTAAGCAATCGGCCAAAGTGGGGAGCCAACTTCACGTACGTATTCACATAATATATAATATTATTCTCTAAAAATGCCGGTATTATTTTAGATTCTGAATGTAGTGAGGAATACATTGGTTTGTTTTACCATTGATTTTATAATAAATGGTTTTACTAGTTGCATGCTTATAATTTTTTTCGTCTGTAAATAAATTTTCTATAAGAAAACCATAAGAAATTTTTTTTATTGAATCTTGGATTTAGTTAGTGCAGTGATGAAGTATATTTTTATTTTCCAAGTAATTTTCATAATAACTGAAAAACCAGAAAAATATGTAAAAGAAAAATGAATATTTTCAGCATTAATGATTTCATTATTTTAAATTTGTTCGATTTTATTTTTCTACCAGAAATCTTGTACAAAAATCCAAATGCAACATCTTTTCATTTTACATTTTTGAGTTTCATAAGTTTTTATTTGGTGTAAAATGGATAAAACCGTTTATCCGAACAGTAGTGCTTAAACATTTTACATGAGATTCATTATAAGTTAAACTTAGTGGTTAAAAAACAATTTAAACCTAAAGTAGTAGTTTTTCGATTGAAGAACGGCCTACTGCCTCGATATTGGCCGCTTTCAATTTAAAACGTATACCTACATTTTTGACATGTTATACTTATTTTAAGTTAACAACTTTTTGTATTCTTTCAAAAATAAAAAGAATATACACAACGCCTCCGGTTTTAGTTATTTATTTTGCGTCCCGTACAAAATAAATACGAAACGATCGACGTCCCCGTCACGATACGTATTCAAAGGTCAAGAATCCGTGCGTGCCGACGATTGATGGAACGATTTTTAATTGTCTTGTGTGCACTGAGCGTTTGCCAAACGCGCAACCGTTTAACCTGGTCTGTCGGGTTTTTTTATTGGCATCCGAAACACTACCACCGCCACCGCGAAATTGACGCATTATTATGATACTGCGTATTACATATTACATTGAATCGTCATCGGGAGACTTTTCTGCCGGACCCGGCTGGAATCAGTTGCAGCCAGCAGAAGAGTGTAAACTCAAGAATAGGTCTCCTATATTTACACGATGTGCATATTTATCCACTGCTTGTCCATTCGTCCTATTATTAAAAGCTTCATGAGCAGATTTACCGAACTTTCATTTTAACTTTTAGACTACCCCCAGTTATCTCCCCTATCAGTGTGAGTATTAACTATATCTATATTAACTAAATATATAATAATATTATATACTTTAATATAATCGAAAAATGACCTCCCTAAAGTACCTTCCCAGTCAGATTTCCTTTCAGAAAAAGTACTATCATTTTAAATCAGAGCAAAATTGCTGGTAGAAAAGTTGTAGATAAAAAAAAAAAGTTTAAGGTAAAAAGGTGCCTGCATTAAATTATACACAATATTTAAAACTAGTTAGTTTGCTAAAAGATATCACAATAACTAGTATCGTGTGAAAAGGGCTTAAATAAAATTAAAAATGGATACGTTTTGCTAAAATAAAGATAGAAATATATTTTTTCCAAAAGTTGTAGATTATTTAAATATGTACTTAGGAACTTGAAAATTAGTAGTAAAAAATTATCTAGTATTAATATATTAGCTAGGGGATGTTTAGAACATATTACAAAAAAAAAAAATTTTAAATCAATATATTCGACGCTGAAACATTTTCCGCGTAAATTGACTATTTATTTTTAGGCCATTGTGCATAGCTTGCGCGGGATAAAGCGGAACAGGAAGCACAAATAGCAACTATTACATGGTAATAGGGCTGAACTACAGTAATTGCAGGAATGTTCCTCTAAAAGAATTTACTCCCTTCATTTGTGTTATTATTATTACAATGTTTGTTCCTATTAGTGTTTATTTAATTATGTTTTATAATAATAATTATTATTAATATTATATTGCATGCAGTATGGCACATTATACGGTGTACATCTTAATATAATATAATTGTGCGTTTAATATAGTTATTGTTTAAAAATAGATATCTCAACCGATTCGTGTAGACAAAACAATTAATGTAATAACGTAACTCTATGATGCGTTAAAATGTTTTTCTCTCGGAATAATTGATACGTATGGTATATTATATATGTATATATATAAAAAAAACAACAAATAAACCAACAAACGGACGAACCGAAAACTTTCGAAAAGGTATTCAAACGAACGGCTCGTCGCGGTGGCAGCAGAGACAGACACACAAGGAAATACATACAATAATTTAAAAACGTCGTCTTGCTCCCCACACAGCAGCCCGGGTGTGTTGTTAAAATGCGTCTGATTTATGTTTTTCTTAATGTTATTTATTAGGTCGGTTAACTAATATATGGTTAATAGACCAAAGCACTAACGTCGTCGTTTGTGTCGTTGGACATGTTCCATTGCATTAGTCTCCCGTAAATTTAAACTTCTCGGGCGATCGTCTCAGGACTGTAGTGTGTAGGTATTATTATAATATGATTAAATTAATTTTTGTATCGTATAATCAATTAAAACGAAACACCGTGTATACGTGTGGTGGCATAATTGATATTAAAAACCCTGTTAAAAATAATAACCGTAACTAATAAAACTGCAGAAGTGTAGAGTATATTATGACATTATGTAGATTGAAGATTTCCCCTCAAAGATTTTGAGGGAAAATAAAATGCTTTAAAATATTATTTTAATTAATGTTAACGATCAATTAATAACAATAATAATAATATGATCATCATAATTTGTGTGTATATGGTTTGTTAAACTATTAAAAATTATCGTTCAAAATTGAATTAGATATGATGCGTGGCTACAAGAAAACAGATGTTTTAAATTAAATCTATAAAAAAAACAACGCTGCTGTATAACGAGTTGTTAAAAATGTGATCAAATATTTTACGCGCTATTATTAATTAAAATTGCTGCTTATTAATTATTATTGACACGAACTAATTCAGTATTGCAATAGTTTTTTATTTTTTGGGACCCATGAAAAGGATAATTGAATAATAATTGTTAATCGTCCTTATGATTCTTGTTGGTCTTGTTTTACGTATCCCATTGCAAAATCTATTTTTAAAAAAATTGTTTTAATGAGTGGCATCACGAACTCCTACTTTTATAAATGTTCAACCACCGCTGATCACTATAGGTACTTATATAAAAAAAATTAAGTTAAAATTTGTAACTGATATTATTAATAGACGGAACTGAAACCGATATTTTACGGTTACATAGTTTCAGAACCTATGGTTCGTTTGTTGTATAAATAGTACGATACAATAATTAAATTATAATAATAAATATATTATACCGTAAAATTAAAATTTTTTATTAAGTTCAAACTTTCCAAGCACCAGGGTTTATTCTAAGGATTTTTATGTATTGCTCGAAATACACTCAAAAATTTGTTTTAATGAACTTTATGTGGACTTTAATACTTGACCCCTCCCCTAACAAAAAAAATTGTATGAAGAAAATGAAATTCAAAAAAAATACAGCAGAGAAATAACGAATAAATTGCAGAAAAACGTATTACAATCGCGGCGTATGAATCGCGTGGTATGTACGCTGATAAGCAAAATGCATTTAAAATATATTGGGGAACATTTTTTTATTTTAGCTACCGGACGTTTAAAAATTAAACATACATGATTCAGGTTTAAGGTAGATTTATAAATTACACAAATACTGTATAAGAATTCAATCACTCTCAACGATAAGGAAAATTATATTTTTTTGTAAAGTGCTTACATTCATGAAGCTAACTGCACTTTTGATATTTCCTATTACCCAATTTGGGTCCTACTGTCTATTAGGATAAGGCCTGCCAAGTACTATGGAGTTATTTTTTATACCTATTGGAATAACATGACCGCTTTCAGCAATTTGCAACTCTGAAACAGCTTGATAAATAAAGACCGTAACTTTTAGCAAAGCAAGAATACAAAATTAATTTACCATTATATTTTAACAATATTATTGAATATTGTATTAAATAAATACACGGACATACCTATGTATAACAGTAAAATTTAAAAAAATGAGGGTATTTAATTTCTTCTTAATTTTGGCCCCTATAATATCATTTCATCTCAACCTTATAATTTATCGGTATTTACTATACCTGACGCTTTCAAATCTTCTAAAACAATTATATCAATTCATTTTTTTTTGCGCCTTCCACGAGGCCTTTTCCCTTGAGACATCTCTTCGGAAGTGGTATTCTCAGTGATTCATTTTCTTTACGACTTATATTGTATAGTTAATTAGCGTAGGCGTAAATAAGGTTTGGGGGCTAAAAACTCAATAAGCTCTCCCAAATCAAGTATATAATAATTAATATTATGGAATATTAATTTTACACCTTAAAAAAAAAAATTGGGCTGCATACACTTGTTATAATTTTGTATATTTTATATATTATTATTAATTTAAATTTAAAATAATCATTTTAGGTGTATCTAATCTTTTTTTTTTATCTGTCGTTTTTATATTAGGTGTATAATAGACATACACCTACTGGTAATTTTACATATAATACTATAATTATAATACAAACGACACGCTCATCAGACTTTTATTTACGTTTGACCAGAACGGTAAAACACTTTCATTTTACGGTTCGTCAACGACTTATACGCTCTAATGAAAACATTTAACATAATTAACGAGCCTTATCTTAATCGTATTTAATATTTAAATAATTTAGAATTATGTGGTTTTAGCCTATAAGCCCATAAGCCTAAAGGTTATAACCACATCATTATAACATATGTAGTTATAGGCTATAACTGTGATACCATGTACCATAATTTAATCAAACAGTTTATCAATATAAATATTAATTCGTCATTTTCGATTCTGAACGCGTAGAGAGGAATTTATTGGTTTTACCATGATGTAAACAACTTTTCTACCAAACATCAAAAAACGTCTAGAGAACTTTTTATAACATTTTGAATATAGTCAGTGTATTAGGTAGATCATATTTTGATTTATCAACTAGTTGTTCTAATAATTTGGAAAAACCCGAAAAACGTACAGGAAAAACGGGAAAATTTATGGTAATAATGGCTTCATTTTTTTTTTTTTTTTTATTATTAGGTTATTATTAACATTTTCACAAAATGATAACAATTGCCTTTCCTGGGTCGGTAACATAGGCGCAATTTCAGTTTTTAACTTGGAGGGGCTCAATATTTTTAAATGAAACAGATCCACATCTGCCCCCACACCCCCCCATTCAAATACCAAAATCATAGTTATCTCACCAATTTTCCTGCATTTTTATTACTTTTAAAATTGAAAATTTGAAACACTTTATTTTTATCCATTATAACTAAGGGTTTTTAATAATAGCAGAACGACACTTCGAAATAAGTATATTACAAAAACGAAATATAAGTATTGAACATATAAATTTTCAACTCGTAAACCGATGCACCGATCAGCAATAGCGTTATGACTAGTTATTAGTTTAATCTTAGATATTAAGACCTAATAAGTGGGATTTATTGTGAACATCAGAACCAATTCTAAAAATACACCATGTACTATCAGTTTATTGACTATTGAACACCGTCTCCCGGAAGGGTGGGGTATACGGTACCTACGCATATTGCATATCGCATACGGGCATACGTAAAATAGAAATGAAAAACAAGCCGACCCGCAGTGTACCCCGCCACTCATGNATATGGGTAATACCCACAAAGCCACAAAGGACCAACACCCAAGGTTTATAGATAATAATAATCTATAAACCTTGCTAACACCATACATATATTTTATATTGTATATATTTTCTATGACTAACACTATGTCGTTGCACGGGCTCGTTTCCATTATTTTCATGTTTAAATTTTAGAAACTATTTTTTTCAAACAACGTTTAACATATTATGTAGATTAGATAATTAATGAAGCATTTAATACTTAAATTTAAATAGAAATTTTTGGAAGGGCTAATTTTAATATTGGAGGGGCTAAGCCCCTCCAAGTCCCCCCCCCAAATTGCGCCTATGGTCGATAACATTTTTAAAACATTCTGGACATTTTTTTAAATTATTTATAAGAATTTGATATTTTCGAATTTTTTAGTTTTTATTTGGTTTTATATGTATAACATTAGTTTAAGCGAGTAAAAATATTTGACAATTTAACACGAAGTTTATGTAGTAGTTTTATTTTTAGACGTATTAAGATCAAATTTCGAAGAAAATTTTAAAAATTACGGCATTTTAAAACATGTACAATTTAACATCGTTCATAATCGTATTTCGTCAGCAATAATTTATCGTTACGTATACAAACATAAAATAAATAACTTATGTATCCTATCTTCCTAGTTTCCTATTTACAATAATGGCGCACACATCAGCAGCATCAGCTCTTTGTTTTTCAAATAATATGTCAAAATCTTGAACGACAAAATATTTATAAGGGATAACTATAGACCACCACGTTTTGTTTTTGTTCAAAATTTTGTCAGAATTATTTATTTGAGTTTTTGCCATTTAAGGTTTTTCTTTTCGAGATTCCGATGGCCACCTTTCAAAAATACCTATTTAATATTTTATCTATGTGTAAAAAATGTACACATCCGAAATAGGGTAATAATTGATATTATGTAAAAAAAAATTCAATATGTGTCATTGCCAGTGTGATAAAACCTAATTGTGTATTTATAAATGATTTATCTATATTATACTGTTTCATTTTTATAGAAACTAATACAGAGGTCGACAATCAACGGAAAGGTAAACCGAGAAGAAATCGCACAACATTCTCTAGTTGTCAGTTGAGAGCACTAGAAAAGGTGTTCGAGAGGACGCATTATCCAGACGCGTTTGTTAGAGAAGAACTGGCGAAAAGAGTTAGTCTGTCTGAGGCTAGAGTTCAAGTAAGAACACCAATAATAATAATACGTGCTTAATTTTTCGTTTTTGTTATTGAATTTTGAATATTAATGTAACGCGAATCGAGCTACCTACCGGAAAAGGTTGTCAACTATATAATATAGTAAATAATATTCCAGTATAAGTGGAGAACTTTTAAAATGTTACTTTGGTTTTGGTGCATCTATGAGAAAGGCACAAAACCAATAATACAATAAATTGCCTAGTTAAGTTTAAAAACAAAATTAATTTGTTAACTATATTATGGCCAATGACCATCTTCTTTATCTTAAACTATTCATGGTCCTTCGTCGCTTCAACTATTTCTCTTAATCATTTTTTCTATTTATCACTTAGTATAAATGTTCACTATCCAATGTGGTATTTATCTTGATTAGATATTTTCTCACGGAGTAAATACATTTCTGATCTTCCTGACGGTCTTATTGACATTCAGCTTTCCTACCATTACCTTTCCTATCAATCTCTCTTCCACACACCAAGCACGTCCAACATATTCCGATCGATATTATAAATTACGTATACTTGGATTATTGAAGTATGATTTTTCTTTTCAAACATTACCAGAAATTTTCTGGTTTCCATCCTTTTTAAAACAAAAGTCAATAAAATAAATTCAATTTAGCATGTATTTCTATTTCCAATCTTAGCTTATCAGATATCACATGTTAATATTGTTATCATCCGGTAATTTATTTTAAAAAAAAAATGTACTTACTTTCATATGACAACCAAACTAAATAATAATAAATCAATAACTTTTTTTTCATACGAGTCACCAAGGTAATCCATTAACCAAAACAAAAAATAAATACATTTCTGAACCAAAAATTTCAGGTAGCCATCCCTCTAGAGATTTAATTTTAAGATACAAAGTATACATTAATGATTTTCTCGTTTAGAATGCCAAGTATACAAAGTTTCATCAAGATCGAAACATAAGTATACATATATATTATATATACGTACATACAGTGATTTATTCCTAAAAAAATGCATGAGTACAGGCTTAAATCATTGAGTAAATATAACGTGAAGGGCTCTGCCCTCTCCCCGCTATTTTGTCTACTTTTCTACAGACAATGCTTTTTAGACTTTTTTTAACTGTTATAGACTCATTTACATTACCTAAATAATAATTGATACTTATTGAAACTTATAAACTATCAATAATAGAAAAACGTACTAATACCTAAAAAAAACTGTATACATTATACATAAAATATAAATCAACAGATAACTAATTTATATAATTTTGAAAAGAAAATACATTTTTAAAAACTTAAGGGCAACAACGATTAACTGCAGTGATAGTGACGGGGATTAAAACAGGGAATTCAGAGGAAAATCTTTTTATTTAGTGCATATTTGAATGACTTTTTTTGTACAAACATAATATTTTTATTTTTATTTCTAAACACCTGGGTGTTCACGACCCACCCACCCATATTACGTTGTGAATCCCGTGATTCAAATCGCACGCAGACGGCAATGTTAGGCTTGTTTTTTTTTTTATGTCATTGGGCATCAAAATAATATACAAAATTAAATAAATATTAACTTAACACCGTTAATCTAAATTTATAAAATAACATATCCTGACATATCCAAAATTTTAATTGGTCAATATACGGTCAATATTTTATGTATCATCCGGGCATTGTAGAAAACATATAAATTGTGAACTTTTCCCGTAGTCATTATGAAATCGAAGAGTTTTATAAAAATTTTTGGTTTTTACTTATCTTCTGTATGTATAAAATAACATGTCCTGACTGACTGATTCAATCATCGCCTAGCCCAAACCACTGGACAGATCTGGTTGAAATCTGGCACCCAGATAGTTATTATGACGTAGGCATCTACTAAGAAAGGGTTTTTGAAAATTCAACTCCTAAGAGGGTAAAGTAGGGTTTTTTAGGTATATCTGGTACGAATATCTAATTGCTTATATATTTATTTTTGTTTATTCAAGAGTTGCCACGGAAAAGAAAAATATTATAGTTATTATTATTATTACTGTTATTTACGCTATTCAAATTTCACAATAGATCACGTTTAGTCACTTTCCATCTATTTGTTTTCATTCAATTCTGACGCGGCCAAAACCAAAAACGAATACGGGTAAAATAATAATAATAAAAATTGGCACGGGTAACGCGGATCGCGGGACAGCTAGTATGTTATATACGAGATGGTATACCCTCCGCTACATCACTGTACACACATATATGCATACATAAATGCACACAGACAGTATTTCGAATGACAAATTTCAATTACGATAAACACACGATGTTAAATCGATTGCGCGCATCATAAATTGCCCTGCGCATTTTTGAATTTTGAATAACTCACGCGGCAGCGATGCAGTGATTGTCAATAACAATACATGAACGGTGCCAGGAACGCCAGGTGTACGCGTGCATGTTCTAGTGGCGCCAGTCGCATAGAAAAAGTCGGGAGATTCCAACTTCACGCCAGTAAACACTGGCGATACGGTTTACTGGCGCGTACCACCATGCGCGTGTAAACCTAGCTCTACAGTCGAAAACAGGCGGAGTCGCGGAGGTATCGGCGCGCTGAAATTTCACCGGCCTACAACATTATACACATAGAAAACGGATAAAATTGACGTAAACCCTGTACGATATACGAAAAACGTCGATTATAATTTTACGCGGCCCACGGCGCCGATAAGATTTCCTCGGTAGCTCGCCGGTTCAACGCGGACCCGAAAATAGGCCCCGGCGCGGGGTGTATGTTCTATTCGCGGATTCGGATGCGAGCACTTGTTGCTCGCTTGTGACGCCCGCGACGGCGGACTTTTATAATTCGCCTGGGGACACGGCGGCGTTAATTAATGAAGACGCGACCGTCGTCGTCGCAGCCACCGCCGCCGCATAGAGACCAGCACTCGGCATCCGAGGCGCACGTGGCGGACGTGGTTTTTCACACACAAACACACACAATAATGTATACGCCTGCGCACCGAGACTTCACGTGTTGACATGTGTCTCTAATTTGGCCGATCGGCGGCGCCTGTTTAACAAGTATAATACTGCGATATATAAATACGAGTGTGTATGTGTGCGTGTGTGTATAGGCGAACGAACACATACGGATGAGCGGTAAATCAAAGGAAGTCGTGTGTCTGTGAAGAGGAGGACTGAGCTGTCAGTGTATAAAGGTACAGCCGGGAACGAGCGCGCGCGCGATGGAATTCGCGGACCACTGATTTCGTGATGAGCTCGGATAGAAGGTTCGGCGACGGCTATAGTCCGACGACGTGTATATAATATACGTGTGTGACAACGAAAAAAAAAATAAACGCAGTTTTACTCTCTCAGTAAGATCAAACTCTCTCATACACACACACACACACACACACATACACGTGTGTACGAGTCCGAGTCAATTAACGTTCGAAAGACATCGCGGACGCGCGTGTATGTGGAAAAAAAATATTAACCGCGTCCGAACGCTATGACGACGACAGCAACGGCGGTCCCGAAAAACGTCATGACGTATTATTATAATATGCACCTCCCCGAAACCTGCGGTTTTACGATGGATATTTTATATTTTTATATTAATATATTACTCGGTCTTTTCTTCTTTCCCGTTGGCTTTTCGTCAAAATCGCTATAACCTCGATCGTCATACGCGTGAACGCTCGTAACGGGTACACCGGAATGTGTATTATAATATTATCTATATAGGTATTCGTAGTTAATACTGTACGTGTATGAACATTATAACATAATAATTTTAAAAAAAAAATGCTGTACATAATATTTATATCGTAAGCCCAATCCAATATTGCAGTATACCATCGTCCTGATAAATTCTATTTTTTCATCGTGTACCACAACATTCGATAAAATGTTCTGGATATAACAGTTCCTCCCCCTCTGAAAAACTGTATATGTCGGGATGGAATTATGTGCTTATGGAATTAGTCATGCAAATTCGTGTTAAATATTGGCATAAATATTTTTATAAAATATTTATGTCAATTTCTTATAAGATTTCCAATCTGTGGGGAGGCTATCAAGTACTATGTAGATAAATACTTACAGGTTTTTCACGAGAAAGCCTTAGATGTTCCTTGTCCATATAGATCTCCTAAATTAACCATTTAAATGATTCATTATAATTCTAAATCTCAAATATAACACTTTAAACAGACCACCATTGGCATAGTACTGACATCGAATTTGGCCCCTATTTTTTAACAATACGCTAGGCCCGTGTATGAAAATGGAGGTTCAAAACTAGACTGAGGCATTTGCCAACTTGAGAGTTGAGAATATGGTTTAAAAAATATAAGGAGTTAGGCACTAATAAGGTTCTATTAGACTTAATAACATATTTTGTCCTAGTGGTTTTCTGAGGAAAAAAACCCACATATTTATAAAACAAATAGCTCCATCGTTATGGTCAGGATCTGAAATAGATAATATATATATATTTTATTTTATTTTTTTTTTTTGCATCAATGTGGTTTTTTTCACATTTTTTCACTTGTATCTGATTAGGTTTGGTTTCAAAACCGGCGGGCAAAATTCAGACGAAACGAGAGGAGTAGTTTATCGAGAACCATCAGCCCCGCAGCGTCAGTTGGCTCTGACCGATCTCCGAACATCGAACAACCTCTATTGCCGAGGTCCAATACCAACAGTCTACTCGTTCATTCAGAACAGCCGTTCACCACCTCTGGTGAGTACTTTTACAACGAGAACTAGTAGCAAACCCAGAACAATATTGTGGATGGGTATTTTGAAATTCATATATATGTGCCATGCAAATCAAGATAAGAATACTTTGGGGCTTTGCCAAGAGCAACCCTTCATGATCAAAGGGATACAAAAATTTTGATATACATGTCTATGTTGTCAGTAAACCTAAAAAAAAAAAAGAGCTGATTACTGGGGACGGGTGCGGCCACTGTTATAGGTGGGTAGTGAGTAGACTACTGGTAGAATACATAAAGTTATTTAATTTATACCTCTAAACAACAAAAAACCATTGATAATGAAAAAAGATTCGGACTGAAGTTCGGTTATACATGTTTTGAAAGGCCGTATTTAAGATTTTCGTCAAAATTTGATATTAAAATTCCTTTATAAAAAAAATACTACAAAAATGGACCAATTGTTTTGAAAATTTTACTACGTCTAGAATTCTAGAAAAATCAAATACAAGTTTTATATCAAAATTTTAAGTCTTTATGAACACATTAAAAAACTTAAAAACAAAATTGAAAATAATAAAAGAATTATGCTTGTACATTTTCTCGTTTTTCAACGTATGTTTCGGTTTTACTCAATTATTAATAAAACTACATAGAAAATTAAAAAAACAACTTTCTTTTTCAATAAATATATTATAAATTCAACGAAAAAATATCTCTTGATGTTTTTTAACTGGAGCAATTTTTATGGTAGAAAACATAAGCCGTAAAAATTTAAAATAATGAAATCGTTGCGACGTAATTTGTAAAACATCGTATATTTCGTCTTATTTAGTTTTTCCCTATTATTATACAAATACTTTAGATATAAAAAACGAATATGTGTTAAAAGAAACAAAATCGATCTCTTGTAATTTTTGGATTAGAGCAATATTTCTGGTAGAAAACATCATGTTAACAAAATAAAAACAATGAAAACAATAACACCGAGGCGCGCCATAAATATTTGCCGTTTTACCTATAATTATCTTTCGGGTTTTTGTTGGATATCGAAAAATCACCTCCCCAATGCAACAACTAGAGAAAATTACCATTCAGAAAAGGTGCTACGGTTTATACTTCAAAACAAGTTTACCGGTAGAAAAGTTGTTCACGAACAGAAAAAAAAAATTTTAAAAAAAACATATATTATAGTAAAACCAATAGATCTCTTGCTATGCTCCGAATTTAAAACGTGCAAAATCATAATCATGCTAACTCTAATATTATAATTTATATAACATTATATATTTTTATATCTAATTATAGTATATTATATCGATTTTACAGGTTCAGGTTTCGGCGGTCTGTTAGACTATTCAGCGTGGAAATCAAACGGAATGCCTCCATGTGGAATGTTCCAGCACACATCCGGTTATCCGGCTTTTTTGCCAGTCTCCGCCGGTAATATATACAAATATAATATCATATTTACTAATCCGATAAAATATGATTTATCAAGCTATGTAACTATATAGTACATATTACAATATGTACAATAGCTCTCACATGAATCAATATAAACTAATTTCATTTAATGGTTAGGTATTTAATTGATTTGATTTGTTCACAACTGTTGATAGTAATATCCGAATAATTATCAGATTGACAATCAAGGTTGTAGAGAAAAATCAAAGGACCCAGGGACAAATAATTAACCTACCACTAAAACTAAGCATCGTTTTATAAAATGTATATAGGTAGTAATAAAAAGAAAGTTTAAGATTGAGATATAAGGGATTTAACAGAAAAAAAGACAGACATTTGTGCGCAACGTGTAGTATATATGAATTTATATTTATGAGATTAAAAAGTATCTATTGGCTATTACGGTTTTCACCATTATCAATATTATTTATACTTATCTTACCTAACCTAACCTAATGAAGATCTCCGAAATTTGTGATACAATTATAGAATTGTTTTAATTTAATTAAAAATGATATACCCAGGATTAAAAATGCTATTGAACTTTAAGGATGGCATGAATCGTTTAAATCCATGCTAAACGTTGTACATCCATAAATTTTGAAATTTATCAACGCTCTAAAAAAAGATAAAAAATTATTTTATAAAGTAAAATATTATGAAATTAATAAAAATAATTTTTATATTAATGTACAAATTAGGTAAAATATAAGACCTGGATCATTTAGTCGAGCCTGGGCCTTAGAGCTACAACCTTGGCTGCCCCCTTTCCCGTCGTGCCTGGGGATAGTTAAAATAATATTCGAATAGTCTCGTCCATAGTCAACAATTAGGCATGTCTACCAAAAAGGATACAGAGCTCAATTTTGGGAAGGGCAAACGTGCAAATATAATACTAAAAATAGTAAATTAAAATATCTTGTGAACCAAAACATCATACTCCTCTACAGTGTCTGGGGAGGGCATATGACCCCGTTTTCTCCCTCCCAAGATCCTCCGCTGAATGTCTACCTATTGTTTAAACAGTCATTGTAATTCATAATTCGATTAAATTATTCCAGTTTTTATTAATTTATTCTCAAATCATTAATATTTAAAATTTTAAAACATTTTAAATTGTATTTAATAGTAAAAAAAAAAAGTTCAGTGCAATGTAGTAGTTTATTTTATTAGCGTTTTGAGATTTGTGACAAATATCGTAAATATTACAGAATTTATTTTCAAAATATGTATAACTAAATTTCACTCAAAATCGCATTCGTTAGCAATGGTTAATCGTTGTTTACAGATACAATTAATTAAATAACTTTACACGTCTTTCCTTCCCACCTATAACAGTGGCACACCCATTAATAGTATGAGCTCCTTTATTAATTTTATTAACCCATCCAAATTTGGGGTAACCTAATAACTAATAATTAATTAATATAATTCTCAAACATTAAAAACAATAACTAGGTATAACAATACGAGGGCTAATCAAAAAGTATCAAGACTGGTAGTATCATTCGGAAAAGGAGCATCGAAAAGCAGTAGGATTGGTATCACTTGCTTCTATGACTTTTTCTGAGTACATTTGTTTTTATTACTTCTCTATAAAATTCTTCGGTTTGATTTCACCGATATTTTTGTAAAATATATTTTTAGAGTTAGCCCTCGTATATTTTAATTTTTAACGAACAATGTTATGTTGTCCTGCAGGTGGTCCACCCCACGGTAGTTCTTCAATGCCATCCATGTCGGTATCAAATTGCCTGGTACCGAACCATCACCCTGGTTACATGGTCTCAACCAATTTGGCAAGCATGAGGATTCGCCCCCAAGAATATTATATGGACCCTCCACATATGTAGAGGCGGTGGAGATGCTGAACTGCTGACGNTTTTTTTTTTTTTTTTTTTTTTTTTGCAAAGTATTCGATTTTAATTTACTATTACTCAATGGTCTAATACAGGGGTCTTCAACCTTTTTATGCGGCGGGGCATATTATATTATTTTCTATATATCTTGCAGGTAGCATTCGTAGTACCTAAATAAGTGTATTTTATACAAAAATTAAATTTTATTATTATTAAAACATATATAGATTAACATATTTCAATTTTGAATTACCAATTATTATTTATTTTATATTTAATGTATTTAATGTGATAACTAATAATTGACATTATTTTTCATTAATTTGTGTATATTTGGTTAGATCTGAGATGCTGCAATTATCAGCAAGTTTTCTAAGTATATGTCAGTTAACCGGGCTCTAATTTTCGATATCACAATTTTCATACGTGAAAATATATGCTCACAAGTGTAAGTACTACCAAAAAGAGTAGAGAAATTTAATTTATTTTATCGTATATTTTCCAATTCTTTCAATAGCGATGGCTTATGGTCGTTCTAATTTTATCGAAATAGAAAAGATATGCTATATTTCAAATGTGATCGCAGGCTGCAAATAATGACTAGGGGGGTCATGGGTTGAAGACTCCTGGTCTAATATAATAGGTAGGTATTCAAATAGGAACAATGGTTTTTTATCAAGACTGGCAGAGATCACTACATTTGAAAATTGTATTTTTTTACTATTATTATACTACATATTATTGTGTCAATCTATTTCTTTTTAATTAAAAAAAAATAAAAATAGACATTAAAATATCAAATGTAATTACAAATACAAATTATAATTCATATAATTGATGCAACAAAACCATAAGGATTATTTAAAAAAAGGAAAAACTTACTATACTAGAGTAGGGTAGGTTATATATATGGTTATCCATCCAGTCTGAAGATCCATTCATTTTTATAATTTACTAAGCAACCAATTTTTCATCTTATTAAATGTTTTATTTCATGTACACAGATTTAATAAATGTTTTGATAATTTAAAGCTAAAAATATTTCACATCAAAAGTTGTTCTGAAAACCTATCACTTATTTTAAAAATATAAACACCATAGTAAATAATATTAATAAAGTTGCCATGATGTAGATAATCCATAAAAAACAAAATATCTGATACAATACCATCTTATTGCTGAAAAAAAGAAAAATTTAAAATTAAATTTAAGAGGACTAGAAATAATCCTTTAATAAAATACCATAACAAAAAATCATATATTAAATAAATATATAAAAATAAATAAGTAAAGATACTTACTTTAAATAAGTCTTCAAAAATCCAAATTGACAAATATTTAATTGTAATTATTATTTTAAGTTTTACCAAAAAAAAAATTAATTTTCACTGATATTATTAATTAATTAAGAACACAAGCGATAAACATCAACATTACCTATGATCACCTACCTACATTATTAAGAATATTAATTAGGTACCTTAATTTACTTAAATGAATTAGAAAATATCTATAATCAATACATTTGAATTTATAATATACAAATATGGAATAGCTTTAATAGGTTTCAAATGCTAGGTTAATTGCATTCATTACCTTGGGGCTTAGAAGTATACATTACAAAATTATAAATAATTAAGTTAAACTTAATTCCAATTAATATCTAAAATGCATGGATGAATTTTATTTGTATCCTCCTCCTTTTATGGTTAATTAGATTTTTCTAGCTATTTCTAGAACATCTATAGAAACGAAAAGCTTTGTGGCCAATTTGTATAATTTTTTTTCTCTGTGTATTTCTTTATTTTTTTTTTTTGCGTTTTACCTGATGATGAATTTTTAATTTGAAACCGATCAATAATACATCAGATAATACACATATCTTAATACTCCAGGGGACGCATTTATTTATTTATATAAAGGAAATATGTTAGCAAGAAAATATTTACTATAATTATAATGTTGATAATATCATGTTTTATATATGTGTAAAGTATAGTGTTTACCACTTGTATATTGTTCACTAATTTCGGCAAATAGCTTGTCGAAAAGTACATTCATATGTTAAATAATTGGAATCTTGACAAAACTTAATGAGTAAACAGTTTACTTTAATTAACTCGTCAAATATTTTAATTGTGTTTTTTCCACATAGATTTTTCACGCCTATCTTATAACCATTTAACAACAAAGTTACAATTTCATGATATATTTTTAATTTTAATTATAGTATAATATAGTAAAAAATTAATTAAATAATATTAATTCGATTGAAGTTATTAGTTTAACATATTATATAAAATAAAATTGTTGTCCACACTAAAAATAATATTATTATACATAAATATCTGTTTTATTTAAAATAATTATATACACTTTACATCAATCAATAAATAACTATAAGACTAGGGCTACTTAACTAATATATTGATGTATTATACTGATATGATTGGTATCTAAACAGTATTAATTGTTAAAATCGTGGTTAACTTTATGTTCACTAAATTACAATGAAAATTAGACAATTCCCAGATCATAAAAATATACAAGACTACTATGATTTACTGCATATTCTAAAATAATAAATACATTTTGTTCAGTCATTAAATTAACATAGTCATGGTATAATAAGTTATTATAAAATTAATAAGTAAAATATAATTAAATTAGGTACTATAAAGTTGTTTCTGGTATCCTTTTCTAAAAATAACTAATTTTAAGCAAAATCATTATTTAAATAATAATAGTAATAATAATACAAAATCACAGTGTGTATATGCGAACATTATACTTGTAACATCTGTTCAAATATCACCTGTATTAACACAATAAATTATAGAAAATAATAAAAATTAATTGGAATTTGACACAAATCATAATGTTGCCCAATTACCACTTTAAGACAAAAATAGGAACTATTTATATTGTTAAGTAAATAGTATATTTTTAATTTATAACCCTCAGAATAGACCAAAAACTTAAAATTGTATAAATAATTAACATTGAGGATCCGAAGATTGTCAGGCAAATGGAAATTGCCAAACGAACACTTAAATGTTCAACGTGGTCCTTTAACATGGTGTTTACCAACACTCTAGATATTTTTTCCCCATCAAAATAAAAACATGGTATTACATTTATAATCGCTAAACCCCCTGCAAACATTATTAAGTATTTACAAAATTTTTCAATAGAGTCTGGTATATTAGAAGATAGATACTCAGTCTTAGGTATATATTGTGTAACAGATAAGTATTGTAATTCTATAGGCCGTCCAAGAAATAGGACTTCATTTTTCTTTTTGCGTTTAATAACTACAAGCTTGTGATTTTTATGGATAGCAGGATAATAGCAGTGAGCTGACACACACTGGTTGTCTGCATCGCAAAATGACGTTGATCTTTCTATAACTTTTCTAACATTTAAACAAGAATGACTTGGTAGTTCTTGAGGATTAGACAATGATTCAATGTATTCAAAACATAAATTTGTCTTTGAATTTGGATCACAGCAATTTATGATGTAATCATCTACATAATGTACTAAAAATAAAAATTTTTTAGTAATTTATCTTAATTTTCTAGGCAACGCTTTTTACCTGGTTTTGTTTCGTCGTGATGTTGAACAAATTCGGGTGATAAGCAAAATCCAGAATCTATTCTAGCCATTGTGTGGTTTAAACAAGCTATCCATGATCCGAAATCCCGTACATCACAATTTCCCAACTTTGTAATTACATCACCAGTTACTAGTCCTCCTTGGTCATTAATACCTGATCTCTAAATTAAAAATAATCGCATTGTACACATTTTACTATTTCATCGATTCTAAACAGTATACAAATTAAAAAAAAGAACTGATTTAATAAGTTGCAAAAATTGAATTTAATTTTAACACCATCACAATATTCCATTCAAAAATTTACACCAGCAACTTTTAATATACGGAGTGATTTTTCAAGCATGCTCACCCCATTTTAATGGTTAAATTATGCACAACTTCAAATTCTGATTTTTGAATTTTTAAGTGTTGTGCAACATAATGTTTTTGCCAACTTTGGTTTTTTAAAAGAGAACCTACATGATTTAAGAGAAATTGGCAACCAGATAACTTTTCTGAAAATATTGACGTAGTATAATCAAAATTTTAACAAAAAGTTTCTGAGTTATTCTACTTTAAATACTTATGATAATAGCCTTTTTAACTGACTGTTTCATAGAAATCATGTACTTAGTTACACATGGCTTCTCTTTAGTATTTAAAGTAGAATAACTGAGACATTTTTTGTTCAAATTCCGATTACAATACATCAAAACTAAAAAAAAACTAAAATACTACATAGTAAACATCAATTACCGGGTTTATTTGTGTGGTCATTACACCATGTCCAATAGTAAAAAACGGAAATAATGTATAAGGCAAGAGCCATAAAACAAGATATGCAATAAAAGCTTGAACTATATTATGCCACACACCAGCTGACATAATGCGAAGCTGTTTGCTGCTTGGCAATGAGGTAATGTCTTCCAAATGAACATAAGCCACAGGTAATATTAAAATTAACATCAAACCAACCCCATCAATATGCATGTCTTCCCTATAGAAATTGAACAAACATATTAAAGGAAATTTATATTTAAAAAAAAAAATACTACACCTGATAGCAGCTAATGCATGACCTAGTTCATGAAAAACAGTTGAGAACATAAGTGCTAATATATAATAACTGAAATCTGCCATTGGTAAGTTTATGCCAGGCACCTTAAAAAAAATAAAACAACCATGCAACCAATTTTATTCTATAATGTGTGAATTGTATATGAATATACTTACGATAGGTTCAAGAAATGTATCTGGTTGATTTGCTGATTGACCATTGGATGTAGCCTCAGTGAATATAAGTTTGAATAGTTGGGCAGAAGATACAATGACCATACACATGGATGGTACAATTAGACATATAGTTATCCAAGATCCAAAAGTGAACCAATCTGATTGAATTCTGGGATGCCAAAATGACATTTTCAATATTAGACGGTTCAATGAAGTTGTGTACCATCGTAGCTGAAATGGTCCAACACTCAATCCTGTCATTTTCATAAACGCCAAATATGGATAATGCGAACAAGACTGCGAAAAAAAAAACAACTGATTAATTGATTATCCAGCAAACCAAGCAGTAAGACATGCGATTGATCACCTTGAACAAGACATCAAAAAATAGAAGGGCTATGTAAAAAACTACGACGAAGAAAACTAAAGCGTAAAAATCCATGGCTGGATAAAAGGAATACACAAATTGTTGAACACCAGGGTTTTTTTTTTTTTTATTTGAACACTAATGAGGTTTGGCCGAAAAGCTCAATGTTGTCAATAATAAATCAAATGACGTTGTGGTTGGTACATCACCATTGCGGACAAAATTACGCCGGTGAATATTGTGATCCGATGGTATTATCTTATTAGAAAAACAACCAAATAACGTGTAGTGTAACCACGAAATTACTAGTCTACAACTTATCTCCATCGGAAACGGTGTTGTGCAAGTTGTTCCGCGCGCGCGCGCTCGTGTTGGGATTGTGTTATCACTACTTCACCACCATCACTTTTATCAGCTCGAACGTAAAAGTTCGGTTGGCTAACCTGCTGTAATCATGTCGTGTAAATCGTGGTAAAATGTTCTATTGTGTATTGTTATCTCATCCATCAATGGTTGATCATTTCTGCGGTGGTGGTTGTGCGTGCGATTTGTTTTGAAACGGAATGCCATTATCATAATTCATAGTTAATTTATCATTTACGTTGAATTTTTTACGTTTGGCCTATTATTACCCATTTTAGATTTAGGACGTCCGTCAAATAATATTCGTACTATCACGTCGTGTAATCATCATCGTCGTACTTTAGTTTTAGCGGACGGAAATTTTGACCGTCATCAGTATTTTCGTTCGTAAGTTGGGTCTGGTTTTTTTTTAATTTATATTATTTTATTATCTTCGTACTATTTTATTCTGCCGGTTTCGTTACGTCATCGATTGTGTCGTGGTAACATCCGTACGCAAAACCAAGGCCGCCGAGATCTTCCGTCCCGCATTAATCGGGTTTAAAATTTCAAGTAACCCGCTCATTCACGGTTGTTGTAAAGGGCGGGCGTCGTCGTTGTCGTCAATTTATCGTTGATACTAATATAACAACAACAGCATACGGACAATGGTTGACACTGCCGAAGCTACTAGACGATTAAATGTCAAGAAACAAACGTTAGACGACGCGTACGCGGCGCCTGCGAATTTCTTGGAAATCGACATTCTTAACCCAATTACACACGGAGTGGCCAAGAAACGATATACCGACTACGAAGTTCGCATGAGAGTAAGTACCTACCTATACGTATGTATAAAAGAATGACCCCTAATACCAACGGGTACTGAATACAGCTTGTGTCATTTGTGCGTGACAATCTTTTAATAATTGTTTTCAGACAAACTTGCCAGTGTTTAAGGTGAAAGAATCTAGTGTCCGTAGACGTTATAGTGACTTTGAGTGGTTACGCAATGAGCTAGAAAGAGACAGTAAGGTAAAGCACATTCCATTTTAATATTAAATACCTACTACATACTACTATCTTAGATATATTCACTGTCAAATTTACATTTGAAATTAAAAGTATAAACAAATTTATTCTTCAATTTTGTAAGTTTCCTAAACATAATATTGTGTATCTGATTTTATACAGATTATTAAGATTATCTCAATTATTCAACTACCTCCCTATTTTTTTTTTCTTTAACACCAAATACCTAGATTTAATTTACTTATTGTCCTTTTAATAATTCCAACAAAATATATGAGCTTAGTCATGAATAGAGTTATTCTTTTGATAAATTTCTAACACCTTGATACAATTAAAAATATTAAATTGATGTAATTCACATTTTTCAGATACTCTGATATGTATGTATTATAGGTAGCTATTAATTCAATAGTAAGTTTTTAAATAATTTAATTGAACCAACAACATATAGGTATTTTTATTAGAACTATTTTATAATAAACTTGATTCGGCTGAAGTATGGCTTTTAAGTAAGAAAAAAATGTCAAACTATTGATAAACCTTTCATATTTTTGTTTGTATACCGTTCTAGAACCTCCACTGATCAGATTTTCGATTTTCCTATTTTCAAACCGATTTTCACAGACATTGTGGATTTTTCTTTATATTTTATAAAGAATTTATAAATTGGTGGCCCTAAAAAGGGCTGTTTTAATAGGGTTCTTCCTGTAAAGAACAGTTTTTAGTACAACATTTGTTTTATCGGTTTGTAATTAATATCAAATTTTTAATAGAAGATACCTACACATTTTATGTAATTTTCACAATGGAATTATTAAATAGTACCAAATAACATAGAATAATTTGAATTATCTACATTATGTTTTATACAATAACTGACTCTTCACGTTTACACTCATTCATATATAGGTAATTGATAAAAAACAAAAAGTCGTATTTTCACAAATAATAATAGGTACCTACAAATATATAATTTCATATCAAAATATAAAAAAAAAATATATGTACGAGTGCGTACTGACTAAAAATGGAAATTTTCTAGGACTAGTATACAAACAAAATATCTATGGAACATTTTTCAATATTTTTATATTTTTTCTCAGACCCAAAAGCTATATTTCACCACAAGAAAGATAACAAACTGTACAATAACAGATGAGTTATTCATTATACATAAACATTAACATTTATAATATAGTTTATTTATAATTTCAAATGTAATTTTGACATCTGGGTTAGTAATAGACAATAAAAATCAATTTTTTTTTTTATTAATTGACATTTTTCATTTGCTATATTGATATTTGAATCAATATGCTAAATTCAAACCTATTGAAAAATTGGACAGAAATCAGAGTAAAGATACAAAAGTACTTCGCACGATGAGTGGATCTCTGTTGTAGGTGAGAGGTTGAGAAAGTAGGGTATATAGGGGAGTTTAATGTATATCTGAATGCAACGATTGATCTTTGCTAATGAAAAATGTTTCTGAGCGGAGTTCAGTTGTATATATTTTGAAAGATTAATATTTATGATATGAAAGTATTACATTTACCTGTTTCCCCCTCATTTATTATGAGGGCCTCACTAAAAAACTCTTAAGACCCCAGTCAGGTTTCCTTTCAGAAAAAGTGCTACACTTTAAAATCGGAGTAAAATTGCTGGTAGAAAAGTTGTCCACAGAAAAAATAAATAAACATCATTCTAAAACCAGTACATTTTACTGAGTTCTGCTCAGAATCTAAAATTAATCTACATAAAATGTTTTAAACTAATGCGTTATGTATTTAGTATGTATCTAAAAGATCTTTCATAAATAAATAACTGCATTTTTTTTTTTTGTAATTCAATTATATTTTATAATTTCTTCTTTGATTCACACTGAATTCATTTTTGATTTGAATTATATAAAATTTTAAATATATGTAACAAATATAACTAACATGTTTTCCCCACTGTTGTTATATACAAAAACACAAATTATTATATAAATTTGCTAAAACTATTTTAACTTACATTTAATATGAATGTAAACAATATACATTTTTTATTTTGTATACATTTTAGTAACACTGTTTCTTAAATCAAACAATATTTTTAAAAAAAATCATATACATAAGATTTTAAATTTCTTTTTTGAATTAGACCATTTTGTTTTAGGCTTTGCAAAGCAAGTTTTCCACGGTCTACAGATATTTTATTTTTTATTTTACAGCTATACAATTAGAACAATAAAAATAAATTTATCTATTGTACATTAAGTAAGATAATAGTGAATATTGGAAAATATCTATTTCAAAGTCTATAGTAAAGTTTAAAACTTATATTATTTATTATTGTTAATATTTAAAAATGTAGACTGAAAATGAATAGCTAAAAAATAGGTAAAAATATTTGGAAATATAATATCTGATACAATGATTTTTACCTAAATTACAACACAATTGTGGTTCTTGTTTTTTTTTTTTCAGAGTTTTTTCCAATATAATTTTTCTCAAATGATATTTTTTTGTATAACGTGTATGATCCAAGTTCTAAAGTTCTAACTACCTAGACTTTATATAGAGATAAGTGATATACTGATAAAGTTGTTTTGTTTTAATACAAATATAGATAGTCTAGATATATGTGCATATTTTATACAACAATATTAGATAATACCTATATTGGCAATATGAATTTGAAAATATTTGAATTCTGTAATATTATAATTTTAGATTCTGAGTAGTGAAAAATGTATTGGTTTTACTAAGATGTTTATTTATTATTTTTTTTTATAAACTACAAAAATTCTACCAGAAATCTTACTCAGATATTTATGCGCAGCACCATTTCTGAAAGGGAATGTTATCCAGATGGTACTTTTGGAAGGTCATTCTTTGGTTTTCCATGCAGTTTTCATAATATCTGGGAAAAATTATAATAGAATATAAGAAAAACTGAAAATTTTCAAAAATATAGGTCTTATTATTTTTTAGTTTTGTTATTTGTTGTAATTCAGTTAAAAATATTCGTAAAGACTTGAAATTTGAACAGAAAACTTTTCTACCAAAAATCTTGCCCCAATGTATCAATTATAGCTTATTTATGAAAGGAAATTTTATCTCCATGGTAACTAGGGGAGGTCATTTTTTGATTTTCCCAGCAAATGTGAAAAGCTAGGAAAAAACATAAAAAAAATTGGTAAAATATTAAACAAATATTATTAAAGAAAATATATATTGTCTATTTAATTATTTTACCATAATATGACATATATTGTTGACAAAGCATCATTATCAACTTAACTGTGATCAGAATTTTTTTTTTTCATTTGCAATGATTTATCGTTGTTTACAGATATACATTAAATTACCTATAACAGTGGCTGTACCTGACCCTATTATCCTAGGACGTATTACTATCACTATTGTTATCATTATAATTGATATTATTACTATTTAAAGGTCATGAGTTTTATGCATAAAAAACTGACCAGGGGTTATTTTTTATAACTTTTCCACCTTGAGTAACATTATAGTCCAGATTTATATTCTCTTAAAATATCATGCACATTATTTATAAACAAACTACATATTTTCTAATATTTTTTTTTAAATAGAAAAATCATGCAAAAACAATCAATATACATCAATATATGCTTTATAATAAATAATTTTTTTTAATTTTTTTTTTATCAAAATGGTAAAATATATATTTATATGTATACAATATAATAGTTGTTAAATGATTTGATAAATATTTTTTTCGGGTACATTAAAATTAAAATTACATTAAATTAATATAATTTTTTAGCAATACAAAATATGCTAAATATACTGATTATTCTAAATATGAAAAAAAAACTTTTTCCTGTGAACTGTGTTGAACACAATTTTTACTCACATAAGACTGCATATACTTGGTCACAAATCACAATGTATAAAAATATACAAATCCGGACTCGTATATTGTCATATATTGTTATTAAGGTGATTGCATAACATTAATTTATATGTACAATGTTGATTTTTCGAGAATCATTTTTTTTTGGTTTATTTCAACATTGATCCTATTATATTATAGATCACCCATCTCTTGATTCTGAGTAGCGTCTTATAACCTGGTAAAGTAGCACAACTCTGTGACTTAAACTAAGAAGGATCAGTGATTCACACCCAGGCCCTAATTTGATTAGAAAATCCAAAGAAATACAATGTTTTTATTATTATAATATTATGTTGTAGCCAATATGAATGTGAATACTATGTTATCAATATAATATTCGTGTATATTTTGCCTACTATAGTGAAAACAATATGACTTATAGTTTTATCATTACTGTTAATAACATGGTTTTATTCCTAACATATATTTATTAATAATGATAAAATGTGTATTTAATCATACATGCAGTCATATTTATTTTCTAATATAAAATATAATTTCAGTAGGGAGAGGGGTCCATTAGAAATTTCGTTCTAAGGCCTCTCTAAGTTATGTCACTGATATAACTGCAATGCATTTCATGTTATCATGCTGTATGTTATATTAAGATGGATGAAGTCTGATGTTTTTCATAATGAGTTACAATTTAACCAGAATTTTAACTGTAGAGTTATGCTTATAAAGTAAAAGTTGGTATATATATCACCAAATTATTAAAATAGTAGTGGAAATTCGCATCCAGTTACCACAAACTTTTAAATAATATATAATAGCCATTTATTATAAATAGGTCAGTGTTTCCTAATTTTATTGGTCTCAAAATATTTTTGATGGCTTTGATGATCTGTTCATAAACTTATTACAAGAGAAATATCTTAACTAACAAAAATAAAAAAAATAATTTTATTGGTAAATTAATTAAAAATGTTATGTCTTTATTTGATACCTATACAAATGTAAAATAATAATATTATAATAAGTACCTATTATATATTTTATAGTAATTAATTTTGTTAGTTTGATTTTATTACGAGAATGAAGAATTTGTTGTCTTTTCAGTAAATATGCTAATATGTTAATTCTATGATTGCCATATTTATTCATGCAGTTGAGCAGTAAAAGAAAACTGAAAGTAAAAATAAAAATTTTTAATTTATGATTAGATACTTATTTTAAAACAATTCAATTTTAGTTAAAACATTTTAATGGATAAATATCCATCAATTATTATGCATAAAACCACAACCAGTGGTGCAAATAAAAATATAAGTGTCCAAATAATTTCAATGAGGTAGTCCAATATATCATAAATTAATAAATATTCTAAAAAAAAATTATTAATGTTGGATATTATATTATATTATGTTATACTTGATTTTTTTTTTATTTTGTATGTGAATCACCTACTACCCAACAAAGAGTAAATTTGTGGGTTATCATAAAAAAAAATGTTGAGAAACACTGAAATAGGTAATATATGCAGTTATTTTTTTCTATGTACCAATAATTAGTATTACTTTGAAAAAAAAAATGCAGGTCTAACCCATTAAGTTTAAAATGTGCTACAAGATTTACTTTTTTTATATTTATTTGCACAAAAAGAAAAGAAATGCTATTCTTAATTGAATTTATTTATGTTGATTTTTCGAACTTTCTAAAAACCTTTATATCTATGGGTTTTGACACATAGTTTTGTATTATCATATTGTGTTTTAAATATATAAACAAACAAGTAATGTTTTACATTTTATTTGGATTAAGTAACTGAAATTATCATTAAACAGTAAATATATTATGTTAAATTAACTTAAATTTGAAAAAAAATTAAGTAAAACAGTTTCTGAGGCACAATATGTTAATATATTTAAGTAAAAAAGTAACACAATATCATAATTTAAAATAAAAACAATATACAAGTAGGTTTAATTATTATGTATTGTTTTACTCATTACTGTTGTACTCTGTATTCTTCTAATTGTCTGAACTCCATTGCAAGCTGATTTCGGTTTAGTTTCATATTCAATTCATTTGCTATAAGCGCTTGTAAATATATAACTTCTTTTAACTCACTTACTGCTTCTATCATGCGAAAACTCTCTGCAATTTTGTTTAGTTTATTATACATACAATCCAAGATCTCTCGATTCTGTTCATGCTCATCAAAATAGTTGACCATCATTTTCGCTTTAACAATTTGTAAATCTGTGTATGCCTTGTCAAATAGATTTATACCACAGTATATATGTTCTTTGGTTTCTTGTAATAATCTTAATGCTTTATGAGGAAAATCATACTTCATCAAAACTTTGGCTATTTCAATATTTATAATTGCAGTCATATACTTTAAATGATATTCTATAGCCATTAATTTTGCATCCATAAGTATGTTTAATGCTGCACTTTCATTGGCTTTTGCAATAATTAAATATGCTCGTAATTTAATTATTACAGTATTTTCATCATTATTCTCTGTTAAGTGTTTAACCATATTGGTAGCACCAACATAGTCTTCTTTTTTTAAATATAATTCACCCAATCGTAATGCACTCTCTATAATGTTTACAGAGGCCATTTGTTTTGCAGCGAATTCCGCTTTTGGCCACTGTTCTTTATTTAGAGCTATGGTGAAATTTAAATACTGTTCAGCCATTATCCAAAATTTGCTATGTGTGTATGGAAAAATTTGAGCAACCTCATTAATTAATATGGGAGCAAGATAATAGTCTCCACGCGCAATCAAATCGTTCACAATATTACACATAGCTATACATTTACTTTCCACATTGTATACGTCGTTATTACATTGATCATGTTCCAAGACTAATAAAGAATATATGGTTGATATTCTTTGATAACCATACGTGTTCCAGATTGCTGCTTTTTGTACATTATTTGTCATACGTAAATCAGTTAAGCCGTTGAAATAATTGTAAATTTCACTTTTTTTAAGTATTTTGTGTACTAATGCTGGAGTTTCAGCGTTTTCAACTAAATATTGAGCCAGAGACTGTAAGCTAAAGGAAGTAATCTGATGTAATTCTAATTCTTTACTTCTAGACACAGAACATTTCAACATAATTGACTTATTTTTTTTATTCAAGGTATACATCCACATGAGTGCGTACTGTAAACAAACATGGTCATTTACTTGATGAGCAACTGCTATGCTCTCTTTCAAATAACTCATAGCTTCTTCTTTATGATTAAAAAATGCATTCAATATAGCCATGTTGAGGGATGTGTATCTATAACCTCTACTTTTATCATCAGGATTTGTAACCCTAAAAGTTTGACGGTTAAAATAATGCTGTACACTATTCACAGCGCCACAATATTCTCTTACTCTCAAACAGTTAAGGTAGTTCAAGTAGTGAACATCAAAATGGTCAGGATTAGCTTGTAGGATATCTTTTAGTTTCTGTTGCAAACTTGGTGGATCAAGAGCAACTGATTCATTGATTTTTAAAAGTTTAACTTGTTGTGCAATAAAAAGTTCTACTTGTCGTGGAGACCAAGAGTTTACTTTAGTATACTTACTATTTAGATAAATATGTTTTTGTTGTTCATTAGGTTTGATTAATTTGATTAGGTTAATTAATTCTTTAAGTTCAGGTTTAGGTTCAGATTCTTTTTCACTTAGCACTGTTCTGTTGTTTTGAAATTCCTGAAAAAGAAAATAACCTATAGGTACTTAACATGTTCAATAATAATTTTAAAATATCTTTTTTATTCTAAGTAATTATTATCTTACCGGAAGTTGGTTAAGTATCTCGTTACAACAATTTTTCACTTCTTTCATTACTGCTTTAGTTTGTAAAAATAACATTTTATCAAAAAATACCATTATACGTCGTAGAAATATACCGATTGGACTGCAATTGTTAATTATTTTCATTTGATGTGATTTTGATAGTGAATGTTCTATGATTTGACCATCTAAATTCTTAAACATTGCTATTATAGCATCTAGATCATTATTAATTATTCGATGAAGTTCTGAATAGTAAGTTTTGATAAAAAATTTAGGTAATTGATATTTTCCACATGATATTAAATTGTTTAATTCTTCAAATGTAAGATCAGGGCATTGGATTAAGTGTAAGAGAAGCATACTGAATGTACGATGGAACTTTGAGTTTACCGTTGTGTCTCTTGAATTTTCTTGTGGAATATAAGAACCATTTACATATTCTCTGATGTAATGTGTTATCATTATTATAACAAGAATATTATGGGTTGTAATATTTTCTTGAATCTCGTTTGCAGTTGTATTTGGTATGGCTGTACAATCTCTATTTGTCATTTTTTTTCTTTTTAATTTTCGTTAAATAGAAAGTTAATAACACTCAGAAATAAATACTACTGTTTATATTACTTAAAAATACATAATTAAACATTAATTACCTATTAAGAGTAAACGATTTTTATATTATTATAAAATACTTAGATTTAAAACAAAATTTAAATTTTTATGATTTCTGTATTTTCCTCTTATCTTTCATAACAAACTAGATAATAATCAAATATACCGACATTTTTAGGTTACTTCTACCGTGATAACAAATTCCACAGAGGTTATAGAACAATTTCGGCGGGAGACCTTATTTTGTTTAAATTCAGAATGTAAACCGTGAAGCCGTGTAATACATTATTTTACAATCTTTTTTCTTAAAAAAAAAAAAAAAAAAGTTTAATTGTGAAATTTACTTTAACGTTTTATTTAATAAAATAAATACATTTTAGATTCTGAGTAGAACGTGGAATGTTTTACAATGATGTTTATTTTTATTAGGAAAACCTTGGTCTTTAGGTTAAATAAGATTGAAAGATTAAAAATAAGGTTGTCATTAGCAACCGTTGTTATTTATTTTTGTTATTATTAAAGTTTTATTATTTTAATATTTTCTAAACTATCATTTTTGTCATGGAAACGCACATTGTTTTAATCATTTTACCATAATATGACATAATACCATGTATTGTATTGTTGACAAAACAACATTATCAACTGAACTTTTACAATTTTCTAAAAAAATAACTCGTTATCTGTAGTTACCTACATAATAAATGGAACATTTTTTTTTTTAACTAATAACTTTAAAGAGGTAGTTTTCAAAAATGATGTGGGTGTCTTCAAAATGTCATCTATAAGTTTTATAATAAACAATTTATCTCTAAAACCAATTTTATATGTCTTTTTGTTTGTTTTATGTGAACACGTTTTTATTATATTGTATGTTAAAAAGACAGATTGCAAATGTCATGGACTTTTAAAATTCTTTTAAATAGTGGCAATTTGCCTGGTGTGTAAAGTATTAACAATTTTTTTAATTTGGTTATTATTTTCAGATTGTAGTACCACCTTTACCTGGTAAAGCTTGGAAAAGACAAATGCCATTCCGAAATGATGATGGGATATTCGAAGAAGAATTTATTGAAGAACGACGAAAAGGCCTAGAAGTTTTTATAAACAAGTAATATTTTAGTTAATAATAATTTATAAACCTAATTGATTAATTAAAATATATTAATGTACACACATTTTGATTAAATTAATTATTGATTAATTGTACATTAATTATAATACATAATAAATATTTTATAATATTACAAATTCAATAACCATTATCAGTATTATCATTTATAAATAATAATTGTATATAATACTATTTATACACTATTTGAATATTATTATTTTAGATATGGAATTTGTGATCTAACTGTTACTTTACAAAATAATTTAAATAAAACAAAAGGAGTATTAAATTTAATTTTAAATCATTATTTAGTGTTGAATCAATAATATTGTTTACATTATTAATTATGTTGTTTTAGAATTGCTGGCCATCCTTTGGCACAAAATGAAAGATGTTTACATATATTTCTTCAAGAACCAGTTATTGATAAATGCTATGTGCCGGGTAAAATAAGAAATACTTAAGTAGGGAACTCATTAACATCTCAGTTGTCTTTTTATAAAATACAGTAAGCGCCATTATATAAATTTGCAGTCTTTTTTTTTATCTATTGTATCTATATTATAAATACAGAATACAATAAAAAAATAAATATAATGACATTATATAAAAAAAATACAAATCGATAAGTTATCACTTACTGTGTTTTACAAATAAACAGCCGATTTAACCAACTTCGACTATGAATGTTATTTATGTTCCATCAATCAATTACTACCCAATTTTAAAATATAATTAATCATATTGTTTATCCCCATAATAATTTACAATAAATATCTTATTTTTTTTAGTAATTAATAATGTTAATGAATATTGGTTATTATTGTCATATACATTTTGTTTTAATTTTTTAAAAATCTCATTGTACTCAAAATTATATTTTGGAATTAAACATAACAACTCTAAATGGAATTGTTATGTTACTTTAGTATTCTCAATTACAGGTACTCATATGTTTATTGTTTATTGGTTAGATATTAATATATTTTATTATAAGTTTAGAAACATACCTAATAAATTTAATTACAAATTAATATAAAATATATTTATATATATTTAATATATTATATCCATAAAATATATATATATATAATATTATTATTATGAATTATATTTAATATATTTCATAAAAAAAAAAATAAATCATTTATATTATATAAAATATTTGAAATTAATGTTATATTTTTTTTACTCTAAATTATAAAATAAAGCACGCTAAGGTTGTCATTTATATTTCACTGTTAGAGGATGGTCACCCAATATTTAAAGAGTGTAAGACATTTTTACAAATAATTTTCCATGTATTCCTGTATCAATATTATAAATATTGAAGTATTTTTTGTGTAATCATGAAAAAAACTAAAATGTTAGCTTCTTCAATTGTTGTGAAATTTGGCAATTCCATTATAAACATGGTAGTTTAAAGAAGCTGTCCTGCGCAAATCAATTTTTATAATAAAATTACGGGTATGAAATCCTCTCAATGTAAACCAATTTTTTTTTTTTATTATTTTATGACAATAAGAGAATAGTTTTTTTTTTATTCTTTCAAATACTTAAATATTGTAAAAGTCATTGCTGATAATATTTTCATATCTGAAGTCGTGGATGCATTGAACAGTGATAGCAACTTTAATAAAAATTGTACGCCCACTGTACCATCTGTTGATAGATAAAAAAGTAATAATTGATTACCAAACAGTAATCTATTGAAATATTTAGCTTGTTAAACTCTTTTTACCAGCATTTACAATTCTAAACTCAATTAATATTAGTTGAGTTATTTCATTGTATGTACATTTAAAACTTGTTTTTTTTTAATTTAAATTTTATTTTATCTATATTCTGTTTATGGTTTTAAAATTGTGTGTATTTATAAGTCTCAAATATTTATTGTTATACAGGCTGTCCTCCAGAGATATGTGATTTCTGAACTCTAAAAACAAAATTATAGAATTATAACTCATTGAGTTATCTTAGTATCTAATCTAATTTTTTTTTATTAGGATATTAATTTCAAATGTGTATTGTTTAAATATTTTATATCCATTTAAGACTAGATACCTAAGTATCAATAGAGGTCAATCCGCATTGAGTCGTGTTTAACATTTTAACTGTGATACCTGATGATGAATTTTTTATTTGAAAACCTGTCGTATAATGCACTTAGAATACTTCAAGTGACACATTAATTTATTTATTTCTATACAAAAATTTGTATTTATATATTCATTTACTATAGATATCCATCATAATGAAATAGTGTATTATATTATTTGTCAATGATAGTCAAATTTATGAACAGGATTTTTAATCCATGAAATAACTTTTGTATAAAAACTGAAATGAACATTGTACCTATCATAATAAAATATATAAATTTATTTTCTCATCGGGGAGACCAAATGTTTTTGGTAATTTTTCATATATTTATACAAAAACCAATGACCAAAAAACCAAAAACCTAATTTTTATTTAAAAAAAAGAAAACTAATATTAGAGTATTTTATTTTGTAATTGAGTTCGTTTTCGGAAAAATATTTTCTAACATTGAAAAAAATGTCTTCAAAAACAATATGTAACTATCTATCATTCGAATTAAGACTTATCTATTATATTAATGATCTTAATACTTAAATTACATCTAAATTTATAATACCTATTTAAACATTTTTTAACCTTTTCACTCCCACTGCCCTTGTGCAAATACAGCATTAAACACAACTATATTAGTATAACTTGTTTCTTCATTATATTATTTAACAAAAAAATTAATTCTGGGAGTGAAAGGATGTTTTGAAAACACATGATAATACCATTACGATGTGCGGGAATTTATTGTTTCGTATAAAGTTGACAAATGACATTGTTATTATTATCTTAATTTTGTCGTTTGACAAACCGTATAATAATTATGACACAATATTGCACGCCCCAAAAACGTATTGAATGCTTATAGTTTCCCTTCATATTGGTATCCGCAATGAGTTTGAATAATATATAACAGTAGTCTGTAGATAAACAATAATATTCTATTTTTAGTAGAGCTGAAGATATTAAAAATCGATACTAGATATACAATATTTATTTTCGTACCGGTTTGTAACGGTTTACGGTAAACCAGATTTTTGGCATCGCAGTATTTTCGGGTATCAGAGTATGATTGGACACATGTAGTCAAGTTCCATATATAATTATCTCCCGAATTAAATAGATATTCAATCGTCGATCAACAGAACACGAATCACAATTTACTGATGTAGCGCGCTCTGTCATCACTAGAGTCCGGATTTTAATATTTGTATATATTGTATGCAGTCTTTTCTGAAAGAAAATGTAGACGATTCCGCTCAACATAGAGTTCACAGGAAAAAGTTTTTTTTTCACATTTGAGAATATTTTATGGATAAAATATTTAATTTATTTACCATATTTTGCAAATTGTTAGAAAGAAATACTAAATTATTGTAATTTTAAATTATTATTACCTAGTATTAATTTGAATTTTGATATATCTGAAGAAAATATTTTTGAATCGTTTAACTAATCTAATCATGACATATTGATATACATACATTGATTATTTTTGTATGTTTTTCTAATTTTTAAGATAATATCGGAGAATATTTGTATTTTTTTTTAAAAATATTTAGCATTATATTTTAGGTGTTTTATAGAACTATAGAATATAAATCCGGTCCAAAATCACCAGTTAATCACCAATATGAATGTAGATTACTGTTCGAAAAATTAAAACAATTAAATGAAAAATTGGATTTTTTTTGATTTTACTGTAGATTGTTCAAAAAAGTGGTCATATTGTGTTATTTATTTATTGAATAACAGCCTGGTAGACTCAAGTACAGAAATACCATAATTAGATAACGTATAACAATTGTATGAATGTTATAAATAGTAGAATATAAGAAGTGAATAAATATAATATTAGAACATTTTAGTCAAGTCAAATTAATAATAACAATCAAAAATCAGTGTAGTGGCGTTCAAGGTCTGATAGACTATAGAAGAAAAAATAAAATATTGATAAGTTGCCTTCGGTAAAGAGCCGATTTAGTGGACTATGCTGGCCTTAATTAGTGCGGTGGGTTTCAACGTGGAATGTAGCAGGACATGATCGGGAGTAACACTGTGGTACTTGCATAATTATTATTATGATATTATATAAATCAATTTAACACAATTAGGACGGTTATTTTTTTTAAAAAAATAAAATGGGAACCTGATTTAACATTTAGTTTTTTTTAAACTTATATTCTTTCTTGAAATCGGTGACGTTGTGATCTTTTGTACGAAAGAACAGTGACTTAAAGAATATGAAACATAGAATCAAGTGGAGACAAGCGGGTATTTTATGTGACGAGATAGTCACGATGAGACTTAAAGATAAGTTCTACAAGAGTGTGGTGAGACCGAATATATGTTTATATTGTTCGAAATGTTGGGCGGTAAACGAGAAAAATAGAATGAGAGTAACGGATTCGAGAATGCTTAGGTGGATTGACGAGAGTAGAGGAACGAAAACCTACCTACGAGGTAACGAATAAGGAAGTACCTACTTGATAAAATCAAGGAACAATGAAAAATATGGATTCTATAAGTATTTAATCCAGAAGAAGTCAGATGATAGGACACATACTAAGGCATAAAAGCTTACTGAAGAAAGTAATCAAAGGAGATGTTGAAGGACACATTGCAGGAGGAAGACCAAGGGCAGAATACATGGCACAGATAATGAAACATGCGAATAGAGAAAAGTACCAAGATCTGAAGGAATTGTGCTACGATAGAGATGCACGAAGAGCTGCAATTAACAAATCTACGGGGGAAAAAAAAAAACATAGACATGACTTCGATAGTGGTTAAAATGAGAGAAATGAGACGGCCGCGTTTCGACGCAACAAGACGTTGGCCGCCAGCAGCCAGCATGTTCGATAATAATGGGTATTTGCTAATAATTCAAAAGCTAATATCTGTAAGGGGTAAATATAGGCAACTACTACGTTTTCTGAACCATGTCCGCGGTATGTTATCATTGAGTGTCGCGTGATTTATAGTGTTTTTCCATCACTTGTCGTTTTGTTTTCCAGTTATCGTAATATCGTATCTGTATTTACGATAAAGGTCGTTTTGTTATCAGTACCTACTCAACTACCGTAATCTGACTATCACGGTCGGTATATCAGAAGATTCGTATTTCCTTCTTAATCAACAAACTCTTTTGGCTTAGTAATTTTCTTATATTCGCGCAGTAAACCGACCGGCTAATCACCATACGAAATCGAAAAGTCCCGCTAAAATACCGAACAAATAACAGGAATCTGGACATTTATCAACTCCTTTTCGAAGGACGCTTCAACGCGCCCTCGTTGTCTGTTGATTGTGTCCGAGCAACTATATATTATTCAGGTGAGTGTCAATTCGTATTTTATTTTTTTTTTTTTGGGTGATTTACCTCATGACCGCGTATAATAGTAAAAGGTTAAATATAATACTATCCCGTGTTGACAACTTTTTGGGAGATACATAATTTTCGTATAGAAATCTCAACTAATGCGTAATAGGTAAAAAAAACGTTGTTTTCATCCGGAAATTCAAATAGTTATTATTATTATTTATTAGTTATTGGTGGACTTTTGTACACTGAATAGCTTGAGTCATTTGTTATTGTGTAACACTTAAAACGAAATTTAACCAACCAGAACGATTACCTACCGGTGACCGGTCATCCATAGTGATAGACTAAATGTAGAGTATAAATGTTTAATAATAATAGTATGTAACTTGTTAATTTGAAATTAATAATAAACGGTTAATCAATGGAAAGCTATAAAACAGCAGAGAGGGTGTTGGCCGATTCGTATTTTAGTGCCAACTTTTTTTAGTCGATTCGTATCTTGGCCGAACCGATAAATCGTCTGAAAACATTTTAGCTGAAAATATGGTCCTAACTGTACCCAGTTTAACCGAAACATACTGCAGTTAAACGTATTTCAGCCGAAATGGCCAATTAACTCGTATTTAGTTTGATAGAGTGTGCTGCGGGACATTTGAACGAATTTTGGCAACGTTCATAATGTATATTTATAAAAATATGAATAAAGTAAAATGAAGTAATTAATAAATTGTAATAAAGTAATGAATAAATTCAATTCAATTATAATATTATATTGGTTTTACAATGCTGTTAATTTTTTTATTTTTTTTAGTCTGTGGACACGTTTTCTTCTATTAATTTACTACGATGTATAAATGTAGCATCTTTTCTGAAAGCTTAAGTTGTCTAAATTGTACTTAAAAGAGGTGATTTTTTGATTTTCAATGCTTTTTTTAGCACGTAGGTGGGGAAAAACGTAGGAAAACGTATAATTTCGCGATTTCATTATTTTATAAAAACACTGTTGACGTTTTCTACCAGAAAAACTGATTTAATCGAAAAATCACATAGATACTTTTTTTATTGCTTTTTTGATTTACTTTCGTACGGTATCATCACTACAACTTTTGGGCTTTTAAGAAATATTAATTTTTGGGAATTTGTTTGCTGTAATTCGGTTATAAATTCACGTAGAGACTTAAAACTTGGTTATAATACTTAAATTGAACTTATCTAGACGTGGTAAAATTTTCAAAATCATCGGACGAGTTTTTTTTTTTTTAATAAGTGCTTTGAAATCAAATTTAAACGAAAATCCTAAAAAAAAAGACGGCACTTCAAATTATATATTACCGAACTGTGCTCGGAATCGTCTTTCGTCAGCAATGATTTATCGTTGCTTGTAGATATAAATGAAATAAACATATGTATCCTACCTACCCAACTTCTCACCTACATCCTACACCTACATAAATATCAATATAAAATTAACATTTTCTCCAGTGAGCTTAATAATTATTTTAATTGATATAGAACATAACATTAATATAAATTAGATATTATTTTGGAGGCATTTTGTCATACCCGTGCTATTTGTATAAACCGCAGTTTGCAAGCCGATACGCCGATTAGTATTGGAACAGCCGCGCATTTTCGATGTTGTTTGGCGCGTGTGTTTGAAACAAATAAATACTTTCCTAATATATTACATAAATATATTTATTTATGATTATTATCGAATATTCGTACATACTTCTATTCTATCTGTTTATAAAAGTATTTATTTACATTTATTGTAAGCAGCATAGACTAGCCACTAGCCGAATGACTAGCTAAATAAACCAGTACTGAATAATTGGTTCACTCTGTACATAATTTTAAATGCATAATATTAATTTGTAATAACTTGTTATAAATAAAGAATATTTATGAGTAATTGTTGAAATATCTAAATAAAAACCGGTCTTATCGTAATATTATTGTATGACTAAATACACTATACTATAAAACTGTGTTTCTAGGAAATCTATAATATTATATTATTATATTAACCAATGTATCTAAAATTAGAAGAAAAAAAATTAATTAAATATGTATATTAATAAATCCTACACCCATTTTTAGAAAATGTGTAAATAACAATCGTTCACGTGTACAAAAACGGAGGAAAACCGAACGTCTATATTATCATAACTAAAATGACTCGTATGAGTTGCTCGTCTCCAACGTTATTGCAGACAAATAACATTATCGTCTATTCAATTTTAATAACACGAACTTATCGGACGAGTCTTTCATATCCAATGTGTTAACAAACATATGCAATATAGGGATTTAACTTTTGTAAAGATATAACAAATTAACTACTATGTGCAATTCAGTTCAGAGTTCAAACTCATTGGTCGAATAGTGCAAACATGATTGATAAAAATGAAGTGAACAAATCCTTGTACTGTTAAAGTGTTGTTAGCATATAAAAGCATATTATATTAATTTAATACATTCAGTTTCACAAGTAGTTAACTCCATTTGTATTTATATTTTTCTCTATAGATAATAATCTATAACAATATTAAAATATATACGAATATTGTATTTATATAATTTCTTTTCATTAACATTTTAAAACATGTGAGAAGAAACATTTTTAATTCTCTAGCGATGATTTTAGACTTATAAATATGGTGACCAGACGTACACTTTTTCGTAGGACAGTACTCTTTTTTGATGCATTGACGCAAATTTCCTACTGTACCAATATCCCGCACCGTAAATGTGTAATTTCAAAACACTAATTGTACGCTAAAACTTGGGTATACTAAAACTATAGGTATACGTTGCCAAACACACGAAACACAATCATCAACAACAATAAAATAAATAAATTTGCGTTAGACACGATAAATTCTCATTGAAAAGTTGATGATAGTTGGTACCTATAATATACAATGTACTATGTAGTATAGACAACGACTAGCGTGATAGGTTTGCGTGAAATTTTTATTGACATGATATTATTTTACGTTCTATACATTCTGTAACAGAATTTATCGATTTACGGACAGCTAAAATAGTACTCATACTAATCGTGAAATTAATAATTTTTCATAAAGCGGTTGAAAGTAATTTGTCTTATCATACATTTTAGACCGATATACCTATCTTTAATAATCATAAACCGACAATGATCATGTACCTTAACTAAATTAATTAAATTAAATAAATGAACAAATGTTCATATTGCTATATATAAGCAAGAAATCAAAATATTCAAATATTTTTTCAACATTAAAATTAAATGAGCGGTAGTGGGTGAATTTTATTCAAATGTTTTGGTCTAAAACGCCATAAAAACGTCTCTGTCTCTTACCTTTGAATGGGTTTCCGACAATGGATTTCTAGAAAATCTGAGAAGTCTTATTATTTAAGTAGCCATTAAAAGATAAAACATAATTTTCAAATTTCACAAGAAAACATTTGTAAAATCGCTTCTAACCTCCCTTAATGAAACTAAGGTACCATGACATGATTGAGTCCAGCCTAGATTTATGTATCGAAATACAATTAACAATTACAAAACTTTTAAACGAAACAAAATGGTAAAAATATATCACCAAGAAAAGTCAAGTTATTGGTATATCAAAAGTTTCAAACAAAAAAAATATTTACCGTGACCTATTTAAACATATTTTTACATGATAAACTTTTAAATATTTTACAATAAATTAAACTAAAATAACTATTATTTTAAAATATAAAAGTATAATTTATTTTTAAATAAATATTATGATTTGTGAAGAAATTCTAATTCTTAATGATTTTAGGCTGTTATATAGTGGTGTTCCAGTTCCTATAGGGTGTGCTATATACTGTTGTATACTTTCAACATTTTGCTGAATAATTTCGGGTATACTGCTTAAATCTTATTATCATTTTCCGTTCATACCACATGCCACTAAAACTGCAGAAATATTATTAATAATAATAATAATATTTATTTTATAGATTATAACAAAAAATTCACATTTTTCTTAAGATTTACAATACTTTTTTTTTGTTGAATGTTTTATTTTTGTAATTTTAATTAATTTTTAAATAATCGATATCTATTTCCCTATAAGTAAACAGCATAAACCAAAATAAAGACACACAATATACCTCATTTATAAGGTACAAGGTGTTATAGTATATTCTCAAAAAAATGGAAGGGAACACCACTGCTTATATATAAAGCTTATGTTATAACATTATGCAAACAAATTTAAGTTTTTTTCTGAAATTTAGGCTTAGTAAAGTATCTATAAGTGCGACGAAAATTATTAGTTTTATATTTTTTTAGTTTTATTAATATATGTTTTGTCTCTCGGAGAACAGGTTTTCGGTTTATAAAAATGCTCCGATATTTTCACACAGTACCTTAAAAAATTAGAAATTTTCATCCGGTAGTACTATACTTGAAACACTTTTTGAAATTCTCAGCAGGTTTTCT